CCACAACCTGACCGGACCCAAATCACACCGGCGTACGGGGTACTGGTGCGCCACCTAACATGATAATCCACTGCCCTCCGGTATTACACGCCGCATCGTCTGTTGAACCAACCCCATAACGACTAACACGGGTCTCTACCCTATACCGCGAGATGAAGCTCGCGGAGCATCGAGCAGTTCGAGCCTAGGCAATATTGAAGATGTAGTCGGCGTCCAAGGCCAACCTGGGTGTGATGGACGATGCATATGACCACGAGCGGGCGCGTATGTATGAGCATCTACTGAGTGCTGCAGGAAGAGTATCAAGTTGCGATCCAGACTGATGCAGTGCAGCTGGGTGTGAAGCGAGGCTAATTGGGTCACCAAATACGTGACCCGGACCTTAGCTTCCAGCCAAAGCTATCCCATGGAACCCAGCCGTGTGGAAGAGCCTGGCCAGGTCCCTACATCGGATGGGCTGGGCGTCATAGTGCATCCCCAGAGAGGGCAACCAGCACAGCGGTTCCACCAGGTGGTTGGCGAGCAGCTGTCTTGACTTGATGAGTCTTTTGATCAGCCAACGACAGGCCACCTCTGGGCTCCTGTGAGGATCCGAACCCCAGGCCCGGAGCAACCCTGTCCGTTGATGGTTGCTACTGCACTGTACGTACCTACTTTCGGGGTACCGTCACTGTTCACCGGCCAGACTGATCCCGTCCCCCGGGAGGCGGAACCCGCCAACCTGTGCATCCAGCATTCAACATCCGGCAGTGAAGATCACTCACAGATGACGATGAAGGAGGCGAATGCGTCCGACTCGTTGCCTAGTCGGGAGCAGCGCATTTACCTTTGCCCTCGGGTGCCTGCCAGGCACAGGAGTTGCCATCCACCCATGATTATCAATACAACGGTCAGTGTGGGTGGTGTTTCGATCCGAGCTCCCCGTGCCCCGACGCCGGTGCTGCGACGCTGCATGCGTGTACTGAACCGTACGCATGTACAGTACTGTACAATATCAGGGCTCGTCGTGTAACTTGGTGCATCTCGGCAGTTCGGGGGTTGCTGTGTCTGGCAAACTCCATGAGGTGGCTGCCGCGTGGGAGGAGTCGGCATCCCATCATGAAAGGCATGGCGGACGACAAGCAAGCAGCGACGTCGACCTCATCTTACTCATGACCTGCCACAGTCGGTTATGTAACCAAGGCAGCAGTCAGACTCGCAGTCACAGTCACAGTCACGAGTGCTTGAGCTGACGTCTTGATGGCAATAATTCTGATACATGGCTCAAGCCAGACGCCCCCCGGAAGAGTCAAGACTTACAGTTTACAGTACGGTAGATGACGACGCGAGTTGGCCTGTCCGGTACTGTACAATTTTCATGACCATGTCGTCGTCGTCACCACCGCACGTTGATCCAGCAGCTTACAGCAGGCATCTGTACGAATACAGACACATGAGATATCATCCATTGATTGCAAGGCGACGTCCGACCGGTCAAGTCAATGTCCCTCATGTAGTCGATGCCAACAAATCAGCACCTGCGTCACAAGCGTCCTCTAGACACGGAGATCGAGACCCTGGTTTCTGGTCGTCTGCCCTCTCATGCCTCTCTCTTCAACATTAGCTCCAACTCTCTCGGCTTGACCTCTCTAGTTTGGCTGGGGTCGCCACCTGCCAACACCCGTATTAGGGAATTGAACATTTTTTTTCTTCTACTTTCTTTCTGCGTGAAATACTTTGGTACCATCAATCTCGCCCTACTGCAACCATCTGTCCATCGGATCCGCGTGGGGTGGGAGGAGGAGAACAGGAAAATGCCAGCCACACAGAATTAAAGAGGGAAAAAAAAGAGGATCAAGTCCAAGCGAAGCGGGGACCACGGAGCAGAGCGAAGTGGTTGGCGACATGGACGATGGAGAATCCACCTGAGACTAGAGAGGCAGGGCAGGATCGTACCTATCACGAGCCTCGGAAAGGGAAGAAGAGACAGAAGAGCAGAGAAAAAGAAGCTAATCATGACGGGGACCGAGAGGAGGGGGCGGGAGAAAAAAAAAAAAAAAGCCTCTTCCCACGCATCGCTTCCCATCTTTGACGGTTGCTCTCGTGTGCCAAGGTCCGTAGCCCGTCGCAAAAGAGGCCGAAGCCGGGGCTCGGAGCTACCGAACTGTCGAGGGCGTTACCGGCGGTTAGAGACTGTCGGCGCGAGTGCAACAGGTTAATGCAAGGCAACCTAGACAAGCTGCAGCTCCTTTGCTCTCAAGCGACGAGTTGAGAAGACCCGACAGGACCGAGGTCTTTGCTGTTTCGATTCTCATCAGGGCACACACGCACGCACACATTGCTTGTCCTCGACAACACATATCGTCTAGACGAGAGGAGAGACCCATGCCCATCACAGATTCGTCAGGAATTACAGCTTATGGTATCCCACTTCGTCTCCGACAGAGACGTCCTCGCTAATGCTCGGTACACACAATGCCCAACAATGCGAGGCCGCACCAGAAATGTGCAGGTAGAAAAAAGAAACACATTCAATATCCATGACACCAAACGCCTGCTTTCCTTCTCCCAAGCCTGCCCGGCATGGCATGGCACACTCAACTCCCCATCCATAACCACCAAAAAGTACACATCAATCGCCGACCGTGACACCAAGGAGCGGCCGTGAGAGTAATAAGGCCAGCGTACAGTTGTATAACAGACATAGATCCACCGGTCGTAAAAGAGAGTCGAGTCCTCGCCCTGCGTTCCCATCAAGTCATGCTGTACGGCACAATGGCCTTGTCGATGACGGGCTGTTGTCGCGACATCTTTTCGCTTTCGGGCCCCCATTGTGACCGCCACGATGCCTCCTTGTCCACGGCGCTATCAAAAGCCTTTCGGCACTCGGGAGGTAGCAGATCCTTGATCTCATCCGATACTGCGCTCAGTCCCTGGAACGAGGCGAGGAAGTCGGCCGAACCGGCCGTATCGTCCACCCCCGAGGCCGAGATGACACCCGCAGACGACGTCTCCAAGTAGGTGTCGGCGACGTAGAAGTTGCGGGCCATCTTTCCGGGAAGAGGAGGGAACACACTGCTGCCCCTGGTAGCCTGCTCGTCCTCTGGGGCGACCTGCTCGATGCGGGCGCGCGTCGGCTGCATCGTTGCTGGGTACTGCACCACGTTGGTGTGGATGTCGTACACGCCGGCATTGTTGAGCTTTCTTATGGCATTAATACCGGCATTGAACGTACTAGGGTGTGACATATTAGTGATGAGTCCTCGACAGAGTGTTGTTATTCGCCAACTTGAGGAACGTACCTGGCCTCGCGGGCATGTTCCAGCATCCAGTTCATGTCATTGACGTTGACCTTGCGCTTCTTGGACTCGACCTTGCCATTGGGGATGGGCACAGTGGGAGCGTTGGTGTGGTAGACGGCGCTGGCTCCATGCCATGCGACGTATTGGTTCTTGTTGTACGGCTCCCCCTCGACAAAGTGATCATCAGGGTCTGCGAGCTGGCCCTCGACGACACCGTCGGCACGAGCCTGAGCAACACCATAGTCGTCGATGATACGCTTGCCACCCACAATGATGCGGGCGCCGAACTCCCGGAATACAGAGCGTGCTGTGACGATACCTATTGAGCGGCCCTTGTACGAGTGAGGGATGATATCTCGCTCAATCATATCCCGCTTCTCATCGTCGTCGACAATGATCTTGTAGAGCTTACGATGCTTGGTGAAGAACAGGTAACTGTCCCTGAAACCGACACATCGCGCCGGTTCTGTCGAAAGCATGTAGAGCCTCTCGCCGCGTCCCGTAACAGTGAATGTGCGACAACGGTAGTCGCGACCGCCCTGGAGGTTGCCCAGCTTGTCGACCTTGGTCTCGCCCTCGGGGTCCTCAGGCAGCACGCACTCGTCATTAGCGATCTCGGCGATAGTACCCTCAGCGTCAATGACCTGTTCAGCCTTGGGCGCTGCTGGACCACCTTTGCGACCGCCGCGCCCTCGCCATCCACCGCGGCCGCGACGTCGCGGGGTGTTGGCCTCGTCGGCGGGCACGGTAATCATGTTGTCCCAGTCCGGGGGCCGATTCTTGGGTGGGCGACCGAGCCTCTTTCTTCGAATGGTTGGCACAGGCGGCGGGGTGGGCTCCTTGGCCGACTCATCGTCCTTGTCGGCAGCATCATCATCGTCGCCAGACTCCTCCTTTGGCTGGTGGTCCTCATCCTTTTCGTCGTCGGGGTCCGGAATCGCCTGAGGCTTCGTATCCTCAGCGGCCTCGTCGGCGTCGGGCATGACTTCGTCCTCGATATCGGCAAACGTCTTTGGCGTGCTCTCTGCGGGTTGGGAACTGCGCGTCAGCTTGAGTCGGATCCTTGGACGGGGTGCCATGATGGAGGAGGATGATGAAGAATGCGACAGTTGCGCAAAAGGAGGTCGAGGCTGCACTTGCAGAGATTTGATTGATTGACCAATTGTTTGTTGGTGGATGGTGTCGGGATCGGAAGGCGAAATCGACGAAACACTTCAAGACTCACCTAGAGCAGCCGCAGCCCGCTTGGCGGCAGCGCGACCTGAACGTCTGCCTGCCATGATTCACTCACTCGCTGCAGTGACGATGCGGCATCCACCCGTCCGTCTATCGAGTGTCACAGGGGGAGGAGCCTTTGTTTGTGTATGTGTGTGTGCGTGCAAGGCGGGAAAAGTGAAGTTGAAGGAGGGAGGGTCGAGCCAAAAATGAGGCTCAAAGGGGGTGGGATTGGAGGTTTGCGTGAGAGTGTCTGTGTTATTTTTGCGCTCCTGCCTTCGTTGGTTCTGCTTTCCGTCGTTCTTTCCAGCAGGAACAAGGCTTGAGCCACGGTCGAGACGCGCCGCGGCTTCGATTGATGTGATTGGTTAAAGGTACTGCCCCCTTACAGTGTGTATATAACAAAACACTGTATAAACACTGTTATGGCATCTCCATCAACCTTTAGACGATTAATACAAGTTGGTCTCAATCGTAGCAATTACCATCACTGATAAACCTTGTAAATGCCTCATCTCTATAGATACTTGAAAGCCCTCTCCATGCTATGTAGGTAGCTAAGATTCGACAAACAAAAAACGCAACCTTACACCATGACCAGACAGTAATCGTAATCCCCGTAAACCCCGTGTCGATGCAAGTTCATAAACGCTACGCTTGAGGTCTTTCCTCCATTCACTACAGAGTATCCCATCCGCCATTGTTGATCTCCGCCTCCAATTTCCGGCTGATCAAGCTCGGTACTCCGTGATTGAGAACCGTGTTGCGTATCATCGAGTCATATCGCTTCTGGTTGAGGAAGAGCTGTCGCCCATGACGCAGCTGCGGATCCGTCTCTCCATACTTGTCGATGTATGGCGCTGGTGTGAAGGACCCCGACAGACGGAAGAGGTACACTATCGAACACTTGCGCACGTTGAGGAAAACTCCAATGTTTCGTTGACACCTGGCATATCTAGTCAGCAATCCTTGCCCTGTAAATCATCAGACCAAGGGATACTCACCTGCGCATATGTTGCTGCGCGCCACCAATCTTGGTGTACTCTATACGGTCAGAAGAGGTGTCTGTCTTTTGGCAGCATGTGCCTTGGCTGCACGAGAGCTCGCCGCAGAAGAGACAGATGACGGGATCCGCGAGTTCCTTGCCCGTGGTCGGGCACTTCCGCCTCGTCGCCTCGTCAATGAGGGCGTCGTAGTTCTTGGGTAGGCCAATAAGCTCAAAGATACCAGGATGGCTCATCATGGCTGACCGAGGCATGTCACTACTATCGCCTGGCCACATGACCTGGTGCTTGACCCATCCCGACACAAGAGATGAGGTCGTCTGGGGCCAGCCGCAAGCAGCCGCGTTGTCTGTGATGGCGGCACACATCTCGTCAAAGCTGGGCACGCGGAGACTCTCGGTCAAGCGCTCTAGTTCATCTGCCTCCGGCGATGGCGAGATGTGGCTGTTGAAGTCCACCCCGTACTTGACGTAGAGGAACATGAGACTCTTCCTCAGGAACGTAAGTGCGTACTTCTTTGCAAACGTGTACCAACTCTCCAGTGTATCCACGCCAGGTTGTTGGAAACCTCGGTTCTCGCCAAACTCGACGCCCTCCGGGAACTGTGCTGCGTGGAACTCGAGGCCACATTTAGTTACGGCGAGGGCAAAGTCGGCAAAGTTGTTGATGGCTGGATCTTGAGTTTGTCTGTTGGTGAGATTGCCAACCCAGCTGGCAACGGGAATGTTTCGGCCCATATGATACACGAGCTTCACAAGCTCCGCTAGGTAGCACAATCGGAGAACGTGCGAGATCTCCGCCTTCTGTGCCGGCACCAGCCCGTACGAACACTCAACCAAGAACAAGAACGAATCCATGCTCAGCAGGGGCGGATATACATCCAATGGCCGTCGAGCATACGGCGTGCCGGTTCCAAAGTATCGCGACATGAAGAGCTGGCAATGTTGCCTCTCACTATCTTTCTTGAACTCGGCGTCGATCTTGCTCTCGGCTCCGCTATTCTGTGCCCCGACCGCAATGTACGACGAAACCGTCTCTGACAAGACTCGCAAGTGTGTGAGAATGTGCTCAGGAATCTTCTCCAAAAGGCTCATGCCCGGTTGGGCTTCCACTCCTCGCTGCTGGACTTCCACAGAAGAGATGGTGAAGCCCACGGCCTTGACTAGCGTATCACTGGCGCAGAGCTCGCCAGCGTTGTCGCCCTTGGAGTCGATGATGTGACTGGTGCGGAGGCCGTTCATGCGAAGAGTGTTTCGCAGTCGACGATATGCTGCTAGCAACTCCACCATCAACTGGCTGCCATCTGTAGCAGCTGGCTGAGCATGGCTCTGCTCAGGCGTATTCAAGTCAGAGAATGCGTAACTGACGGGTGTGCCCACTGCTGATGACTGCGCCTCGGCGTCCTCCCTTCCCCATGAGGTCTCGGCCTGAGTCTGGGCTGGCAGTAGAGACTCAACAAGGCTTCCAGGAAGACTAGGAGTGTACATGTCGGGTAACGATGGCTCATCCTCGCGCGCTTTGCTTCCGCCGATCCAGTAAGCGGAGCCCATCTGCTTCTCCAGGAAGTCCTCAAAGGGACCCTGAGACTGGAGATAACCTGGATACGACTCGTCTATTCCCTTCCAGATGATGGGCACGAATGCGTTTCCGAGCGCCTTGCATAGAGGGCACACAAACTCATTTCGACGGGTGTCCTCAGGATGATGTCTGGCGATCTGATGCGCGTGGCGCCTCACTGTTGCTTCATAGTAGACCTCGAAGCAGCGGTAGTGCATCATATGCCCACAACCACTGGCCACGGGCCCTGGAAGGCAGACGTTGGACGGGAATCCTTTACCAATGGTTTGTCGCTCCGCGAGGAAAGTTTCGCCCTGGACATTGATCTTCTCCACCATCCTCCTGTTTTCATGGGCAATACCGAATGGTCTAACCTCCTCGGCGGATCGGTCAAGGCTGCAAGGCGTTTGTGATGCTTCGCGGACAAAGTCGGGGTCCTGGAAGTCTGTCTGCCGAAGGATCCGGCTCTCGTTGAAAAGGGCAAACGTTCCGTAGAGGTGGCGGTCGTCTGGCTCTTCCTGGCACAATATGCAAGTTCCAACGGGGTATTTCCAGTTGTGTTTCCGCTCTTCTGTCTGCTCTTCTTCCTCCTCCTCGTCTTCGTCCAAGTCAGAACCCCAGTCGAATGCTGCCTGGTTCTCCATGAAGCTCTTCTGTTGCTGCTGGAACTGCGCCATGACCTTGGCCTGACGACTTAGCGCCGCCTTCTTTCGCCTCTCACGCTCCTCCTCAGCAGAAGTGTTTGCTGGCGAGGCCGTGTTGATACGGTCGACTGAGACCCCAAGGTTTACGTACGCTGTGTCGAAGGTACGAGGGCGCTTCTGTCGCAATCGTTTGAGAACGAGCGCAATCTTGGGATGGACCGCCTTGAACTCGTCCTTGGTAGACATCATATTCAAGAGGGACACGATAGTTCTGGAACTATGTGCCTCGGGCATAAAGTTGCTGCGACCAAACTTGGTAAGAGCAATGTAGACAAATGACTTTGTCGACTCCTCGCTCATGTCATCGTCACTCGTCTTGTCCTCCAGAATGGCGATTAGGATGAGATGTAGAACCACCTGTAGGAAAGTCTCAAGCCGGGTGAATGGGACCGAAGGGGTAAACTTGTTGGCCACTAGGGGGTAGAGGAGCGAGTAGTAGATGACCTGGGCAAACATGCCTGTGCTGGTGAAGGCGCCCAGGTTCTCGAACATGCCTGAAGGAACTGTTCGAGCCTTGGGCTCATACACAACCTCCTCGGCTGTCTTTCCTGTCCTCTTGGCCATCTTCTTTCGATACGCCATTTCGGATTCCTCTCGCTGGTTCTTGTTATAATGCGCGATGTAAGGATCGATCTCCTCAATGAACTCGGGACGCAACTCAAATGTGCCAACATCAGAAACACCCTCGGGTGGCTTAAAGGTGGCCATTTCATCCAAGACGCGGTGGAAATCTTCCTGCTCTTGGTACTTCTCGGGGAGCTTGTTGCAGATCTCATTGAATGATAGGGGCTTAAAGCACAGGACGTGAGTGATGTCCCGGCGCATGGCTAGAAGCCTGGACTTGGTCTCGTCTTCGGATGATATCAACGAGGTACGATCACTGAGAAGGACAATCAGGAGGTGGATCATGTCTTCCACCACGTCCAGGTGCTGGGCGTCATCCTGAGCCTCCGACTTTAGCTCAAACAAGCCCTTGACCCAACTCTCCATTCCGAAGCGGTCGATAATTGACGCAAGAACACGGCTGGGGCTGCAGACCACCAAGGCAGTCTGCAGAAGGAATATGTCTCGGTGGTGCGAAACATCTCGTTGACCAACACCGCGGTACGTGCTTGCTTGGTGCCGTAGGCTGATTCCGTTTCTAACCCACATATTGGCCTTGATCTGAGCAAGCCAGGCACATACACGGAGAGGGAAATCGAAGGCTGCAATGAGATAGTCCTCAGAGGTGAAGTCTTTTCTTGGCACCTGAGGCCTACCCATCAACTTGGGCTTGGACTTGAGCTCTTGCTGCGTGAAGCTCATCAGAGTTCTCATCGTAGAGGCAGGAAGCGATCGTCCGCACTCAATGAGCCAAGACAGGGTGTAGTGAAGGGCGTGATGGAAGCTGATGGCATCCTTCTCGACGACAAACTTGACCACATCATAAGAAGCAGCCTCGGTATCGAACTCAAAGTCGCTGAGATTCTTGAACTGAACCTCATCCTTGATTTCACCCTGCTTGAACCGGTGGCGTTCTGCGCCGATCGAGTTGAGGATCACCGTCTTTGCTGTGAAGCGGATGGCTCGTTGGAGGTAATTAATCTCGTCAGATGGGCAGTTGCGGAATGCCTCAGCGAGGTTTCGAGCCTGCAGGTTGATCTGTCTCGTCACAAGAGAGGCAGTGATCCATGAATCAGCCTCGTATTCCACATGCTCGACTACCGCTCGAACATTGGGGCCAATGCACTGGTGAAGCTTGACAAGATCAAGGAACTGCATGAGGTATCGGGGCTCGCATCGTACTCGCTCTTGGACATGAGGCGCACCAAACAAGTACTTCAAGTCCTGATAGAAATGGTACATTCGCCTGTTTGTTACAGAACCACTCTCGAAGGCGAGGACGGCGTCAGGGGACACATCCCAGGGGTGACCGACTTGTCGTGTTGTTAGGAAGGTGTAGAGAATCGCCAGCAAGCTGGTCATAAAGTTTCCGCGTTCAACAACCTCGGCAGTGATTGAGGGAGTCGTGAGCATCTGAAGAGAGAGGTTGATGATGGAGTGGTCCGGTTCTCGGTCTCCAACCAGGTAGAGCTGAGCCAGAATCGTGTACAAGCTCGCGAATCTGAGGGCCAGCACTCGCTTGAACTCGGGAATCTGGACAACAGTGGATATGTACAGGGCCCGAAGATCATTCCTAACTTTCTTCCACATGCGCAGATCGAAAACTAGAAGCCAATCGAGACGGACACGTCGAAAGACATCCTCGGCCGGGGGTACATTCTCACGCTGTGTGTAAATTGTAGGTGTCTCGATCCAGTAGCGTCCAGGTCGAGCTGTCAGTTTCTCGGTCTTGCCAGGTGTCTTTGGAATTTCGACATTTGCTTTGGCGTAGATCGAGGGTGCAACGAGGGGCTCGGCCGTATCCGAGTCGGAGGGTGTTGCTTCTCTATCCCGCGTTGTAGTACGAGTCTGGGTTTGAGCCTGCCCCTGAGTCTGACCCTGGGCCTGAGCAGGGGGAGGTGGAGGAGGGGGAGGATATCCAGCCATGGTGGCCTCGTCTTCTTCCAGAGCTTGGTCGTTGTCTCTCCAGTTAACTCCAAGATCTCCAACTTCCCCTCGATCCACCATCATCACATCGTCATCCTCATCTTCGTCACCTCCAGCCACGGAACTGGACGGGGAATGATGGCCTTGGTCGTCCATGTCGGCGTCGAGATCGTCGTCTTCGTCATCGTCATCATCATCGTCGTCGTCAATTTCTATTTGAAGACCATTGCCTCCAGCAGCAGCTTGCAAGGCCAAGATGAAACGCGCATTCATGCCGTCGAACCGGCGTCGATTCGCAACTGCCTGGTCATCCTCCTCCTCATCGTCGATAAGGCCCAGAGTATGAGTTGCCGCGCTGCCCTGACGCCATGGCTTCATGACTTCCTCACAGACGGTGCGACGAAGAATGTGAGTATCATGGCCGACAGTGCAACCTGAGATGTCGCTCAGCCATTCCACGAGTGTTCCACACATCTGCTCTCGAAAGGTATCTCTTGCAGATCGAATGGTGACCGTTACTCTTATCGCCTCCATTATAGTCGCCATGTGTAGGAGTCGGTCAATCTCGGATGAATATGTCAAGATGCTCCGTCCTATGGCATCTGTCTCCCAAGCATTCTCGGCTGCAGCCCTCCGGCTCTTGCGGCAGGCCCTTGCGACTTGGTCCTGCACCTCCTGAACGGTGTGCTTCTCGTCATTCCATAGGATGAGCGCAAACTCGTTGCACGGCTCGGCGTCTGGGCCATAGTAGTGTGAGGACAGGCGTGAAGACTGCTCATCCTCGAGTATTGACTCCTCAGTCTTGGCTTGGCGTAGCTGCTCCGGTGAGCAAGAGATGACGTCGCAGATGTAGTCAAAGACCCGGCCGATGGTCATCTGTAGGTTCGCCACGAGATCCTCTGGCAGGCCAGCTGCCTCCTTTCCCTTCCCTTTATCGGCGCCCGCCTGCAGGTCGGAGTGGATGGTGCAGAACATGGGATTCCGCCAGGCCTCGTCGTCTCCGCAATCGCAGCAACCGCTGTTTCCAACAGAAATCTGTATCCGAACCATGTGTCCGGTATGATCGGTCGAATCGAAGCAGCGTGCACACAGGCAGCAAGTCTCGTCGGTGCCGCAGGTTCGGCATGTGTAGTTCGCCTCACCAGGCTTGAAGATGTGCCCGCATCGTTTCCCCCGCGCAGCCTCGGTGTATTCGGCACCCTCAACAGCACCCTGGGCGTCACTCAGTTTGAGAGTATCCCCAGGCCTGCCCTCGGGAAAGAGAAGACGCATGTATTCGCTGCTGCCGCCCGCCAGAGACCAGAACAAGCTCCGCAGCAGCTCCCGCGAAGCCTCCTCGGTGTATCGATAGTTGAAGTGGGCGGGCAGCCCCGCCAAGAACTGGCAGAGCTGCTGCTCCTGCGTCGACATGTTGTGATCCATGGTCAGACCAGCTTCATGGTAGGCTTGTTCGGGTTGGTGTGAGGTGAAATGGTGAAGCAAGAAGAGAGGCGGTTTGCGGTGTCGGCGATGTCGTCAGGCAGGCAGATAGATAGTAATAGCAATGGAAGTGGGGGATCCGCAAATATTGGAGAAAGGTCGGTGGAACAGCTGAAAGCTGCCGCAAGCGATAACTAACGGTCGAGTCAGCGCTCAAAATCCGGTGCAGATGCAAAAGACAGCTGTACTGTTCTCAAGATGCGTGCCAAGAGGAGAATGAATCAAATCAATGGATTAAAAATCCTGGTTGATGTTGGAGACGGGCCGGCTGGGCTTATTCAGCTTGGATGGATGGAGTTTAAAGCCCACATTCACAGGCTTGTATCCTGAGGCTCGAGGTGTGATGGAATGGTTGCTTGCCTGCGTGTTTGGCGTGGCAGGTCTTGCCCCTCAGGTGCCGGTTCCAGGTTGCAGGGCTGCCGACGTCAGTTGCGACCTTCTATGCCTCAGAGACTTGCGTGGCCCTCTTTTTCCTGCAACATGGACGGCAGATGAAAGGCGAAGGTAATGATTGCCACAGACGGCATTGATGATGAGTCAGACAAAGCGAGTTTCATTCAATGGATGGGATGCATGTTTTGACACGGGCGGGAGGCGACATTAAAGACGCCGCCCATAACAGCGGCCTGGCCGATCTCTCACGGCCTCCAGGGAATGGAAGCGGGAATGCCATCCAGGACATAGGGAAACGTTGATGTGTGAAATCCTGCCTCTAATTCTCCTCTAATTTGTACACGGCTACTGGCACAGAATCAATCCCTAGCCCGTTGCTCGATGGGTAATCATGTCGTCGGTCGGCCTCTGTTTATTCCTCATCCTCGTCGCCGCCCTCGATGAACTTGTGTCGGATGTCCTTCCATTGTCGCTGCAGCCACGGTTAGCAACCAAAATCTCTCTCATCGTTCCCATGATATCAGACGTACGCCTCGGTTGTGGCTGTCCCAAACCTTGTCCATGACGTTGTTGAAGCCCCTGTATCACAATCAGCATCTCGTTCCCGCTGGCCCGGCGGCGGGCGGAGAGCAGTCCTTACACCTCCCAGGCGAAGCCGGCAGTGAAGATGGTCGCGAGCATGAGGTAGTTGGTGGAGAAAAGGCTCCTGTGAAGCAATTCGTATTAGCATCGGGCGTTGTTGGTGTCGTCGTCTCGTCGTCGTCGGTGGACTTGCCTGTAGAGGGTGCTGGTGATGGCCTGTGAGGGTGCGCGATTAGCCGGTGCATTCGGCGGAGGGGATTCAGGGTGTGCGAGGCACTTACCATCTTGGATATCGAGCGCAATTGAGCGTCTGGGACACGACTTCAAGTGGGTGATGGACGTCTGCGACCGGCAATTTGAGGCTTCGGTTGAAGGTTGGAGAGGGTCTAGAGATTGTCAGGCCAGGAAATTCGCGAAGTTCCGGGGACAGCTTTAGGTCGCTCCTGATTGGCTGCCTGCACCAGCGATTCCGAGCCCCACTTTTCTCTCGGCTCTTGAGCATTCAACCTCAACTCGAAGCTATCGCCATTACATTAACTTGCATTTCAATTCTTCGTCTATGATGAGAATCATAAAACCAATTGACTTGAAATGAGAATTTCTATGTAAGGGGGCTCCTTCTGCCTACCTGGCTTTGCTCGAAACTGCTCCTTGAAGCCAAGAGTTACACATCACCCCAACATGTCACGCTCACTTCAGAATCTAAACAATATCTTTATGGGAAGATTAAACTGATAAATTGTTCCCTTGCGAGAGAAGCTAGTCTAATTAGGGTTTCGAGGCCCTTGCCTTGATCTACTTTTCAGCAACTTCAGACCCAGCTCCTTTCGCCTTGTCCTTCACATCCTTCGCCTTTTCTTTTGTCTCCTGTGCCTTTTCCTGGGTCTTCTCCTTGTATCTACGCATTCTCTCCCGGAAACCAATGTGTTGCTGTACGCGAGGTCCACGGATGGAGCTCATGACACGCAGCGGCGGTCGTGCAAAGTCATCATCGTCAGAATCGAGAGACTTCTCCGAGGCGAGGTCTTCAGCAGGAGGGGCTAGCCACCTCCTGTGGATGAACCCAGGGAGACAAGCCTCAACCCACTCGTCAGGACAAAGTCTGATGAGTGCTCCCCAGGGCAGAGAAATGGCTCCGAGTCCGATCGAAAGTCCCCATTCCCTTCCATTTAGGCGCACAATCTCGAAAGCCTCATCGCCGACAAAGATGATAAGGACTTGACCTCCAACCATGATGATGTTGATAATGATAAAGAAGATGTTGCGATGAAGACCTTCAAAGATGTTCAACTTGTTGTCCAGTCGACGATTGCTATAGGCTTCTGTCAGCGAGTGTCAACCCTCATCCAGGCGTTGGACAACTTACTTGATTTCGTTGAAAATCTGTAACCAAACAAAGGTATTGAAGACGAGTGTCTTCAGAGCCTTGGCATCATTCTCAGAGTCATCGTACCAACCAAGGATCTTCTTCCCACCAAAGTTCAGAACAAAGGTGATGGCAAGCTGGCAAATGGCCTGGCCAATGATCATCTTGGACATTCGCAAGGTGATGAGAGGGGCAGACTTTCGATCAGGCTTCCTGTCTAGAACACTACGAGTGGGAGGATCCGTTGCCAGAGCAAGTGCTGCAAAGGTGTCCATGATGAGATTGACCCAGAGCAGTTGAACAGCATTCAGGACAGACTCTTGCTTGCTGCTTGCCACTGCCGAGACGAAAGTCAAGACCACGGCTGTGACATTGACGGTCAATTGGAACTAGATGTCACTTAGTTAACCAAGTCGAAACTTGTTGAGATATCAAGCTTACCTGGAGGAACTTCTTGACTGAGTCGTTGACGGCACGACCCCACATGAGACCCTTGACGATGGATGCAAAACTAAACATTGTCAGTATCAAAGTCATTGCAAGTCTTCAGAGACGGTTCACTCACTTGTCATCAAGCAGGATGATAGAGGATGCCTCCTTGGCGACCTCAGTGCCAGCAATACCCATGGAGAAACCAATATCAGCCATCTTCAATGCGGGAGCGTCGTTGGTTCCATCACCAGTAACAGCGACAGTCTCTCCAAGCTCCTTGAGGGTGCGGACCAGAATCCTCTTATCCTCAGGACTTGAGCGAGCGAGGACCTGGAGATTCTTGACCTTCTGCTTGAGCTCCTCGGGTGGAAGTCTACGGAAGTCTGGGCCTTCCATTGCAATACCACCCTCGTCGGGGCGGAAGATGCCACATTCGGAAGCGATAGCAGATGCCGTCTGGATATTGTCGCCAGTGACCATTCTCACAAATACGCCGGCACGGCGGCAGTCCTTGAGGGCGTCGATAACGGTCGGTCGCAGAGGGTCTTTGATACCATAGATGCCGATCAGGGTCATGTCCTTGTGAACAGCGTTGAAGTCAGCCTGGCTGGGGTTATCATTGGATACTGCTCCCTCGGGTGGCCAGGACTCAAAGTCTCGGTACGAGGAGGCAATGGTCCGTAGCGTCTGCCCGGCGTAGGAGCTGATGATCAGGTTGAACATGCTTCGATCAGCGTCTGTCAGGGAGGCTGTGGTCGGCTCGCCTTGGGACACGGTTTCTAGGGTACTGGTGCACTTCTCAAGGAGAATCTCAGAGGCACCCTTGGCGTACACTCTGTACTTGCCATTGGCCAGCTTGACAACGACGGCACTGTACTTGTACTTGCTGTCGAAGGGGATGGTCTGAACCACCTGGGCAGAGGTCCTAATCTCTTGAACAGGGCCTGCTCCAAGATGGTCTCGACAGTAGGTCAGGAGAGCAACCTCTGTCTTTGATCCGATAAAGGTCTTGATACCATCCTGCTCGCCTTCGAAGGCAGTCGAGTTGAGCACGTTGGACTGTGTGAGAATTTCCTTGACCTGCTGGCTGAGCCCGTTTGCAAACTCGGATTCCGACACGTTGGGGATGGTGATGGCATCCTGGTCGATCTTCAACGACTTGTCCATAGGAGCATTAGTGCCACCGAAGCTGATGCTCTTGCCAAGAGTAGTGGCAACAACCGTCATCTTGTTCTGGGTGAGAGTTCCCGTCTTGTCAGAGCAGACAGTCGTGGCATTTCCCATGGTCTCGCAGGCCTTGAGGGCACGGACAAGATTGTTATCACGAAGCATCTTGACGGTAGCAAAGCTAAGAGCCAGTGTGACGGCCAAGGGGAGACCTTCGGGGACAGCGACGACGACGACAGTGACAGAAACGATGAAGATCTTCATGAACTCTTGACCCTTCTCGGAGGGATTGCCGTGGTTGTTGGGGAGATGGGCGCAGAACTTGATGAAGAGGGCGATGAAGAGCAACAAGGCAGCGCCAGCACCAAACTTGGCGATCCAGTCCGCGAGAATGTTGAGCTTCTTCTGGAGCGGCGTGTCCTCCTGCTCAGTACGCAATGCCATTGAGATGCGACCATAGCTGGAGTTAACACCAACTGCAGTAACCAGGAATGTTCCGTTGCCCTCGTTGACCTTGCTGCCCGAGATGATGAAAGGATCAAGCTTCTCAGCCTCTGTGGCGTCAAGCTTCTGAATGGCGTGGAATACATCGGCCGCCGGCGACTTCTTGAGCAAATCAGACTCTCCTGTGGCCGAGGACTCGTCACACTTGACGGCACTGCCTTGGATGAAGATGCCGTCGACTGGGACAATGTCTCCAGTGGCGAGATGCATCACATCTCCTACCATGATATCGGAGATGGATATCTCTTGCGATTTTCCCGAGCGGATAACATTTACCATGCGATCATTTGTCTTCTTGGTGAGCCGTGTGAATTGTCGCTGCATATGCCAATCGTTGATGGTACCGACAAGCACGACAATACTGTTCATCATCAGTTAACGCATTCCAGTTCTTGGCAATGGTCTGACTTACACGATGGCAACTATGATAGCCACACCCTCAACCCATTCAACCTTGGGCTCGCCTTCTTTGTGATCACCACCAAAAGTCTGGTACAGGCCCAGAGCCAAGGAGATGACGGCAGCGATAGTGAGGAGAATAAGAACTTTGTCGTTGTATGTTATCCAGGCGATTTCGAGCAAGGACTTTGTCTTTTTCTCGGGGAGACGATTATCACGAAACACCTTCTTGCGGTCGCAAAAGATGCCTGTAGGATGGGGATCCTCTGGGGGAGGAATATGAACTGCAGCCTCTGCGGTGGCTTCTGGGATAGAATCTCCAGCTGTGCCATGTCTTGGAGTCCCCTCAGGCGCAACATCGTGAAAGGCGACCTCACCGTCGAGTGTCGACTCTTCAACACTGAGACCAGCACTTCGATCTGTCCTCAAGCCCTTTTCCAGGCCATCGATACCGCCAAGGGCGTAAAAGGCGTTGAGGCTCTTTGGGTTGAGAAGCTTGGATAATTGACCCGGACTGAAGGCGAATTTGTTGTGCTCAACCTTGAACATGTCCTCGGTGCCTGGATCCGGGGTCAGGGCATCCGAGGTATCCACCAGACTGGTCTTGGTATTGGTATTGGGGGCCGCATGCCCGTGACCGGCCGTCTTGGCTTCTTGCGATGTATCGGGGGCCGTCATTCTTGGCAGCGACGAGGGTGGAGGTATAGAATAGATGGTCGATGATCTCAAAGTGGGAGCTGTGTAACCAACACCAGCTTATAAGCCCATCGGTTCTTCTCGTAAATTGCTTCGTAGCCGAACAACGTGATTCTGAAAGACACTGCTTTTGGATGAAGAGGCCTCCCCGTGTAGTTTGGGGGAGAGTCGGGAGAAATAGAAACAAAGTTGGGAAACGGGCGGTGGGATTCTTGCATCACACGAGGCAGATCCAACGGGGCAGGGTAGGTACTTGTTATGTACTGCACCAGCTGTTCTTAATAAAGCAGGGACGCCCAAAAGCGTCTCTAAATATTACCCGTTAAATGCTGCACCCGGTTCTGACCTGCAAGACGGGCATCAGGCGCACGTTGGCGCACAACAGGGCGTACTCCATCGGTAGGGGCAGCTGGGCCTTAATCTAGGCCGGACTAACAGAGACAGAGATTAAGCTTAATGAGTGTCATCAAGGGGCACGGGAGGCTTGATTGGCCTTTGATTAACTGGGGACAACGCCAACGGAAGGGCATCTCGTGAGGCGGCAGCGGGTTGGTTGCCAGCAGAGACGGACAATCATGGGAGGACATGATGTCACACTATGATTCATTGCCTTGTTTTTGCTCTTGTCGTTTGGTATTTGCTACAAACACGGAGACACGATCCCGTTCCAGAAGAGGGTGATGATCACTGCGTGTGAAGGAGAGTGGCCTCGGCCAAAAACTTGAAATTATTCAAGGGAGTGAGAGTAAGTGGGTGGCTTGAATAAACCTGACGGAATGCCTTGCCCACTGAATGGACAGTAACGTACCAGACCAAGGCTTCCATGTCACCGACTCTAGGGAAGCATTGATCCGCAGTATTCCGCCCTGGATCCATCATCATAACCGAGCCCTTTATTCTCTCTCAAGGCTTGATTCAGGCACATTCTGCGTGGACTGTCGGCCTGCCACGTTCACCAACGCATGAGATGGTGATGGACCATCTCATTCTAATTGGACCATGTGACCTGTGAGTCTCCTCCAGAGTCCAAAGCATTGGCCAGTGCTGGCGATTTCGGGTAGGGGTTGCTCATCAAACACGGCAAGCCATCATCCCACTATGTTGCAGGGATTCAGCCAGCCATGTATCAGCGAGAGTGCTACCTATGGAATACCGTGTAGGGAGGAGGAGGAGAAGGAGTGTGCCGTAATACTATGTACGTATTACACCGCTTAGGGGGGCCCATTGTCATGAATTTTGTTTGCTTGTTTGGTCGGGCTGTCATATATGCCTGACATCCACGCACCTGGAGGCCTTCAGGCTGACCAGAGATACGGATGACACCATTCCTATGCGTTGGCCTGGGTGACCCAACCCAAGAAAAGCCAAAACCAATCTATCAAAAGTCTTTGGTCGCAGAATAACCCCATAATCAATGCAGTGACACTCCAAATAACACAAAGAACGTCCTGCGTAACGTGGACGACGTTTTACGTGAGACGGGGACTTATAAACGGGGCGCCCCAAAGCAAGGAGCTACAGGGAGTAATCATCCAATAAGAAGCTCGGTGGTTTTTACACTTTTGGTCAAACAACCTCAGCTCCCTCGCGTCGAGCCAAAGTCCAATAAGCTCATTTTGAGATCCATTGCCAGGGGTGGTCATGTATTTCCGGCAGATGAGAATAAATATTTCGAGAATAATAAAGGGCAAGCACTTTGTGCAAGACATGTCACATGAAATGTGTAAACATTTGTGTCATTCCCGTCGCATGTGTAACAGTCTATTTTCATTTCCATGGAATGCAGTCATCTTTGCGAGGTGCTCGTTTTTGTGCATCAAACAACAAGTACAATGTCAACTAAGCACACACAAAACCACCCCAGAATCACAATCAAAAGCAAAGCTATGTTCTTTTACGTAGATTTGACAAGTATGCTTCTGACCTTGGTACAAAACCATGCCTAACCATCTGCTTAAGAAAAGTCAGCCTCAACTGGGAAGCAATTGCTCACCAGCCACGGTCAACTCGTGGCTCAGTCGAGCTTCACTCTCAGCCACCATCGACCCCTCCAACCCCTCCAAAACTCCAGGCTTCGAGCGCAAGTTTGCTCTACTTTAGCTTGCCTCGGCACATGCCGAACAAACCCCCCCAGGCCCAACGACGATAATCACGTCCGAGTTTCCATCCTCCTCGATATCCCGCTCCTCGAGAGAGATAAAAAGAAAGAATGCCGTCGCAACCCACGAACTCGGGCATCGTCACCGACGAGGCCAGCGGCGAGCGCGAAATTCCCCAGTCCGTCCGCGCCGATGGCAGCACACGCAAGGCAATCAAGATCCGCCCCGGCTACCGCCCCGCCGAGGATGTCGAGGTGTACAAGAACCGCACCGCCGAGGCCTTCCGCGAGCGCGGCAAGAGGATTGGTATCCCCGGCGCCGCGGGGTTGAAGGAAGAAAAGACTGAGCAGTCGTCAGCCGCCAGCAACAAGAACGCAAAGAGGCGCGAGGCCCGGAAGAAGGCCAAGGCTGCTACAGAAGGCGACGATGCAGCTGCTGCGGCGCAAGAGTCCAAGCCCGATGAAGTCGACCCTGAAGTTGAGCGCGAGAAGAAGGCACGCAATCTTAAGAAGAAGCTGAAGCAGGCCAAGGAGCTCAAGAACAAGAAGGAAGGCGGCGAGGCCTTGCTGCCCGAGCAAATCGCCAAAGTCATCAAGATTAACGAGTTGATCCGAGAGTTGGACGCCCTCGGTTTCGATGCCGAGGGAGAGCCAAAGGCAGCCCCGGATGCTGCTGAGGGTGAGGACGGCGACAAGGAGTGATGGGGCATATCGTCTATTTCGCCATTAGGTGATGAACCTTGGACAAACACCTGAGCCTGGTGGACGCAACCCCTGCCCCAGAGACAGCTTCTTGGAGTTCAATGCACCCACGACAGCTCACATCCGTCTCGAGCCGCCAACTCAGATGAGCTTGGAAACAAACCTGCGACATAGCGCACGCTGTCGTCTACTAGAACTCCAGACTGCAAAGTCTAATGATGCCCGGACCTTTCGTCGAAGCCACCATTGATTATTCTCCGTCATGGAGTTGGGTCCTCGAGGCACAATCCCCCTCCACTGCTTAATTGGACCAGTATGGTGAGCTGTCACCCTAAAGTTGTCACACTCTATGGTGGGAAAACGAGGAGCGGTTTGAATTGGGGGTCTTGTATGGCATGTGTAATGGTTTCGTAGTATGGTCCTCTGCCAAATACTTCGAAAAGGATTGTATATACCTATGTTCAACCAAACATGTGCCTTCTATATGTTCCAAATTCTCATATTCCCGCACCCTCTTTCTCAGTGCCGACAACAAAAACCTGGCAATTTGGAACAAATAATCACTCTAACCCGTGTCTTAAAAGATAAGAATAGATGGCCATTCTTTGGATGCCCTCGAATGCGAAGATTGTTGTACAGGGTAGGCAACTTCACGATTAGATCTGCCCAAAAGCACGGTCCAGGTTCCGAGATTCTGCCGGACCAAGCTGCCCTGTTGACCTGCATGGGTTAGCGGAAGGCTCCAGCTGGTGAGGTAAGCTCTCCATCTGCCATGAGCAACCACCTTGGCCAGCCAAACACAACACCTCCCCATTCATCAAGCAACTAACCTCCCAATACCCAACTCGCGAGCCCCTTTAGCCGTACCCGAAACTCCTCAGCATTAAACCGTCAGATTTACGTTTGCGACCATGACCGCAGAGGAAGAGCGCCAAGCCGCCCTCAACTCGTACAGGGCGAGGCTCCTCGAGTCTCGAGAGTGGGAGGCCAAGCTCAAGAGCCTACGCCTGGAGATCAAGGACATGCAAAGGGAGTTCGACCGGACCGAGGACAACATCAAGGCACTTCAGAGCGTGGGACAGATTATTGGCGAGGTCCTAAAACAGCTCGACGATGAACGATGTGAGACGACGAAGCGAATCAACGAGGGAGACGAAAGCTAATCGTTACTGCAGTCATCGTCAAGGCTTCCTCCGGACCACGATATGTCGTCGGCTGCAGATCAAAGGTCGACAAGGTGAAGCTGAAGCAAGGTACCCGTGTTGCCCTCGATATGACGACACTCACGATCATGCGAATGCTTCCCCGCGAGGTCGATCCCCTGGTGTACAACATGTCGTTGGAGGACCCTGGTCAAGTGAGCTTTGCCGGTATCGGTGGACTGAACGACCAGATCCGAGAGCTGCGAGAGGTCATTGAGCTTCCCCTCAAGAACCCCGAGTTGTTCTTGCGAGTAGGCATCAAGCCTCCCAAGGGTGTCTTGCTGTATGGACCTCCTGGAACAGGCAAGACTCTTTTGGCGCGAGCAGTTGCAAGCAGTCTGGAAACAAACTTCCTGAAAGGTACGGTTTCTACAACCAAATCTCGTGTTGCGCACCCCGAACTAACAATGAGGTAGTCGTCTCCTCCGCCATTGTCGACAAGTACATTGGTGAGTCGGCGCGACTCATCCGCGAGATGTTTGGATATGCCAAGGAGCACGAGCCTTGTATCATCTTCATGGACGAGATTGACGCCATCGGTGGACGACGATTCTCCGAGGGTACGAGTGCCGATCGTGAAATCCAGCGAACACTGATGGAGCTGCTCAACCAGCTTGACGGTTTCGACTACCTGGGCAAGACCAAGATCATCATGGCTACCAACAGACCCGACACGCTGGATCCCGCCCTGCTCCGTGCTGGTCGTCTGGACCGAAAGATTGAGATCCCTCTGCCCAACGAGGTCGGGCGACTTGAGATTCTCAAGATTCACTCCCAAAGTGTCGTGCTTGATGGTGACATTGACTTTGAGAGCGTGGTCAAGATGAGTGACGGACTGAACGGTGCTGACTTGCGAAACGTGGTTACTGAAGCGTAAGCACTCCCTCTTTTCCAACCAGGAGCTCATATGAAACCACGTTGGAACCAATTTGCTGACAGAAAGAACAGTGGACTGTTTGCCATCAAGGATTATCGGGAATCGATCAACCAGGATGACTTCAACAAGGCGGTTCGCAAGGTGGCCGAGGCCAAGAAGCTCGAGGGTAAGCTCGAGTATCAGAAGCTGTAAGCAGGGAAGGGAGTGCGGTACGCCAAGATGAATATGATACTACGGCGAGGAGAAACTCCACGGATGATGGAGGTTGAAGGATACAGGGTCGCTGGGTAATCAATCCACCAATACTGGACTGGACTGGACTGGACTGGACTGTACAATAGAGTCAGGGCCGGCGGCTATAGATTGGCTCAGCCCTAGAAGCAGGAATGCACATGGCGTCTCGGAAGAACAACCGTTGGATAAACGATTACGGTCGGGGATGTGATGTGATAGGACATGGGGAGCGTCAGATCCCCGAGATCCATGTCCGTGTAAGCAGCCAAGCAGCCAGACGTTTCGTCCTGTCAGCGAGCAACGGAGTATCCCCACTCGAGTTCGCAAGGCTGAATTATCGTATGCGAGATTTTCGCCCCCAGTCAGCTCACGGCCGGCCGAGGGTGCTGAACGCGGTTTACTGCTGAGCGCTATGAAAGTGACGGGAGAAAAGGGCGCGCTTCAGGACCCGTCTAGAACACCAAACGAGGAATGTCGATGGCTGTCTTTAGCTTAGGGCTGAGCATCTTTGGCACCGGCTAAGGGTCAAGCCACGCCTGCGAACGGTCTGTGTAAGCTTGGCTCAGTTCATGTGGTGCTTACAGTGCCTGGCGAGTTGTTTCTGTGAGTTGAGAGTGCTGCGGTTTAAGGCTAGCCCAGGACTATTGTGAAAGAGGCATATTGGTAGCGAGCTGTATCATTAGACCGTTATCAACTCTGGTGTTTGGCGTTTGTTTGGGTTCTACAGCCTCCAACTCCTAGACAAGCAACAGCCGCAGCAACGCGCGGGGCCCTGCTCTTGGCTGGGGCTGACACCCACTTGATCATTTGCTTGATGACGGGAGTCAGCTCAGCGGGGACTCGCACACCCCCTTCTTCAGGCAACGTGGCTGATGTCAGAGAGCTGGATGGCTGGCTGGTTGACGGCCCGCTGCTGGCGGCTGAATGGTGAATGGTTCTTTTACTCGCCGTTGTTTCTTTGTGAGGAGGGTGCAATCTAAACCAACGTCAAGGACAAGGCCAAAGAGGATGACGTTGGGTGGTGGCACCACAAGGCGAGACAATTGAGCCAACAATAGCAACGGCAGTAGAATGACAAGGTCTAGAGGCCGGTAGAGAAAAGCAAAGTTCTTCCGAGGAATGCTGGAGATGGAGAATAAGAACCGCATCCGTATACCCATTGCCAACGCCGCCCGCGCTTGCGCTTGGCTTGCTTGAGAAGGGGAGGGAACGCCGAGCCGAACAGGCGCTAGGGATGCTATTCTTGGAGGCTTTTCATTTGTAGGGGAGCCCGGAGGCGGCGATTGAGGCTGTGAGAAGAATAGAGACCCACGACCTGGGGACGATCTCGCGCCATGTCCACCGCCCCAGAGGACGGTTTTGGTGGCTGCCCCTGGGGATCCTGTCTTGTCTCTCTCTGGGTGACGTTTTTGTTTCGGGGGCGAGGGCCAGGGGCCTGCGTCTTGGTCAACGCAGGGGATCTGTCAGTGCCGAGAGAAGATAGTGGGACACTGGTGGTGCTAAGAGGTCCGAGCCTGGAGAAATACGAACGAGAATGACGACGTTTGTGTGTCCAGAGCCGGGGAGGATCGGGCGACACAAATACCGGCTCAAGTCCAGGGTCGAGCTTCGCCACAGGATGCATGCTTTATTTTAGTAGAAGCTATTCCTGTAGTGATAAGGAACACGCGAGGTTGAGAGCTCGTATGGAGGGGGAGATCTTTGGTTCGTGATGGTTGCTGAGATCCGGTTTCTTGGTGGAGAGGCGTCCTGGAGAAGCGAGATGCAAGTTTCCGGTGCGTGCCTGACGGAGGCTCTGCCGTAGCGGCGGGACAAGGGCTCGGGGACCCCGTGCGGCTGGTGGTGATGATGCACCTGGCTGTTGTTGATGATGATAGGTGATAGACTGCATGCGGGCACGCATCGGTAGGGTAGTATTGAGACAAAGCTTGAGGCGACTGTGTCGGTAAACAATTGGGCTCGACTGATGTTTCTTTGCCCCCATGAACCCCGGAGCAAACGTCTAGCAAGTGCCCTTTAGGCATGATTCCGTACAGTACCGTACCGTCAAGCTTTCGAAAGGCACGTCCCGAGAACGAATGGGCAAATTGGGTTTGCCATGACGGGCTACCGTGTGGGCGGCTCGGCGAGATGCGTTGCCGTGACGAAAGCTTTCATGATGTGAAGCTAGAGCATTCTTTTTTTCTGCAGACCCATGAACTCGGCCTGGCACCGCCCACCGGGCCATGATGGAGCTAGCGTCGACGAGGCAAGACCCGAAGCGGTATTCTTAGAAGCATGGAAACATGCTGGCCGCGGCTGGTGGTCTTTTGCGATTACCTACCTGAGTGTAAGAGGTAAGTAATAGAGTGGTGGCCAAGATCGAGCCAGAGCCCCATCTGGACCCTTATGCAACCATGAATGATGGCTGACCTTGGCTTCCATCATCTTCTGACTCACCCTTTGACAACACGGGAGAGCCACGACCACGATAACACTGGGGACATTCTTGTGCTCTGATGAGATGTAGTGCAACAAGGACAACAACGGCCAATGGGCGAGTGATTGTTGGTAGCAACAGCATAGAGTCGACTCAACTCAAAACACCCGATGGCGGAATATCCCTGAGCCATCTCAAACTGGTGAGCCGCCCGGCTTGAGAGGGGGGGGGGGGGCACACCCCCCCTACCCATAGACGGTTATCGCTATGGCTCGAGACAGCTCTAGCTTTCTCTTCCTAGCTTTCTCTTTCTAGCCTGCTTGACCTGTCAGCTTTCAATCATCAAGAGTCAGTAAGATAGGAATGTTTTGGAACCTACTTGCCGGGACCGGTCAACTCCCTCTGTTAGTCGGCCAAGACAAACAAATCAACAATCGAATCGAAGAATCCCTCTTTTTCTCGCCCCTAGAAAGGGTTGCGAAGCCATCTGCAGCCCCTGTCAAGCACACACCCCTCCACTCCCCTCCCACTCTCATCCGCAACCCCACTCTGCCCACTTGCTAAGGGTGAGAGACGCAGGAGCCTGCTCCTCGGGTTTCTGAGGCGGACCAGAAGCTAGAGTCCGAAAGGTGAGAGAGGGAGGGGAGGACATGTTTCGTTGCTGAGGTCCAGGCACTTCCATTGGAGGAGGCAACTGGAAGCAGCAGGCCAGGGCCGTACCTACCTCACCATGGATACTCCACATTGGGAAGCTGGGGCCAAGCCTCTCATGGATACCGCTACTGCTGCCGCTGCTACTGTACAGTACCTACCGCTTTGCCCGCCATTCTCAGTCCCGACCACCAAACGACTACATATACAACAAGCTCTCCCCCGTCAGCTTTCTCTTCTTCCCTTCTCCTCTCCTCTCCTCTCTCCTCTCATACCATACATTCTGCTTCGTGATACCCCCTTTCAACTGATCCTCCTGTTCTCTCGCTCTGCTCTGCGCTTCGCTCCTCACACCGACCGCCCTTTCATCCCGAACCCCATTGCGAACGTCTTCCTCCTGCACAGAGCTCAGTCAAGATGTGGTAAGGGAGTTTCCCCATCACCGCTTTTGTTGCCGCCTAGCTCTATCCCCCCCCTCTCCGCCTTCGCCCGCCGCCTACTGCGTTTCCACCGACTCTTGCCTCCGAGAGATGCAACAAGAGACGGAGGGAATGGTCATGATGGCCATGGGCGAAGCGGAGAGACAGAGATGGAGCTGGCGGTCAATGGAAGGCCCAATTGACAAGAACACAATGGCTAATTGCACTCGACTCGCAGTGGCATTTTTGGATACATCAACTACCTGGTGGAAAAGGACCGCAAGTTCATCCTCGACACTCTGATCAACGGTCAGTGCTCCCACGTTGCCCCCCTTCCCCTCCTCAGCTGCCCCTCTTCACAACGTCAAACGCCCCCTCGGCCGCCCTTTTATCAGCCATGCCCCGTCCCGCCAGTCAATGGTGAGACGACACAAGCTTCGTATTGCTGACATAACTTGTCCAACAGGTCTGTCCCGTCTTGAGTATCGAGGATATGACTCGGCCGGTCTAGCCATCGATGGCGACAAGAAGAAGGAGGTCCTGGCCTTCAAGGAGGTTGGCAAGGTTGCTAAGCTCAAGAAGCTCGTCGACGAGTCCGACATCGACCTCGAGAAGATCTTTGATTCACACGCTGGTATTGCCCACACCCGATGGGCCACCCACGGTCCTCCCTCCACCATCAACTGCCACCCTCACCGGTACGTTTTTAGCCTGCAAATCTTGTCCCGATTCAGATGCAGTGTTGGTTCCCGTTTTCAAAACTTGGAACTGGCTCTGGATCGGGTGCGTTTGGAGACATCTTTTGCTGACCTGTTTCCCCTGAATGCAGATCCGACCCCACCTGGGAGTTCACCGTCGTCCACAACGGTATCATCACCAACTACAAGGAGCTGAAGACCCTCCTCTCCGCCAAGGGCTTCAAGTTCGAGACTGACACCGATACCGAGTGCATTGCCAAGCTCACCAAGTACATCCACGACCAGCACCCCCAGATCGGCTTCACCGACCTGGCCAAGGCTGTCATCCAGGAGCTCGAGGGTGCTTACGGTCTTCTCATCAAGTCCGTCCACTACCCCCATGAGGTCATTGCCGCCCGCAAGGGTTCTCCCCTTGTCATTGGCGTCAAGACCCAGCGCCGCATGAAGGTCGACTTTGTCGATGTCGAGTACTCTGATGAGAACGCTGCCCTCCCCGCTGAGGCTGCCGCCCAGAACGTCGCTATCAAGAAGAACGATCTTCTTGTCCCCGATGCCGGCCTTGGCGCCGCTGACAAGTCTCTTCTGCACCGATCTCAGTCTCGTGCCTTCATGACCGATGATGGCATGCCCATGCCCACTGAGTTCTTCCTCTCCTCCGACCCCTCGGCCATCGTCGAGCACACCAAGAAGGTTATGTACCTTGAGGATGACGATATTGCCCACATCCATGAGGGCTCCCTCAACATTCACCGTCTCAAGAAGGCCGACGGTAGCTCCAACGTCCGAACCATCCAGACCCTGGAGCTCGAGCTTCAGGAGATCATGAAGGGCAAGTTCGACCACTTCATGCAGAAGGAGATTTTCGAGCAGCCCGAGTCGGTGGTCAACACTATGCGTGGTCGCCTCGACATCGCCAACAAGACCGTCACCCTTGGTGGTCTTCGCTCTTACATCTCCACCATCCGCCGATGCCGCCGCATCATTTTCATTGCTTGCGGTACCAGCTACCACTCTTGCATGGCTGTCCGTGGTATCTTTGAGGAGCTTGCTGAGATCCCCATCGCCGTTGAGCTGGCTTCGGATTTCCTTGATCGACAGGCCCCTGTCTTCCGTGACGACACCTGCGTCTTCGTCTCCCAGTCTGGCGAGACTGCTGACTCCCTCATGGCCCTCCGCTACTGCTTGGAGCGTGGTGCCCTGACCGTCGGTATCGTCAACGTCGTCGGTTCCTCCATCTCTCTCCTCACCCACTGCGGTGTCCACGTCAACGCCGGCCCTGAGATCGGTGTCGCTTCCACCAAGGCCTACACATCTCAGTTCATCGCCATGGTCATGTTCGCTCTGTCTCTTAGTGAGGACCGTGCGTCCAAGAAGGCCCGTCGCGAGGAGATCATGGAGGGTCTCGCCAACGTCTCGGATCAGATCAAGTCGATCCTCGAGCTTGACTCGTCCATCAAGACTCTGTGCGAGAAGACCTTCAAGGACCAGAAGTCTCTTCTTCTTCTCGGCCGTGGCAGCCAGTTCTCCACTGCCCTTGAGGGTGCCCTGAAGATCAAGGAAATCTCATACCTCCACTGCGAGGCCGTCATGTCTGGTGAGCTGAAGCACGGTGTGCTGGCTCTCGTCGACGAGAACCTCCCCATCATCATGATCCTCACCCGCGACGACCTCTTCAAGAAGTCGCTCAACGCCTACCAGCAGGTCATTGCTCGTGGTGGCAAGCCCATTGTCATCTGCAACCCCGACGACGAGGAGTTCAAGGCCTCTGAGGCTGAGAAGATCGAGATCCCCAAGACTGTTGACGTCCTCCAGGGTCTCCTCAACGTCATCCCCCTGCAGCTCATCGCCTACTGGCTGGCCGTGCTCGAGGGTCTCAACGTCGACTTCCCTCGCAACCTGGCCAAGTCAGTCACTGTCGAGTAAAGTGCTTGCCGTCAATTGATGAGTTTTGATGGGTGGTATAGAGCAGTGCCGCGCGCGGCTGCTTGGGCACCTAGTTCGTCGCGCTGGTGCGCACGAGGTTTATGATAACATTTGGAGTTGGTTTCCGGACAAAACTGGGCTTGCGTTGACATGGATAATCAAGTCTCTTTTTGCCAGCCTTGCTTGGTTGCATGAGATACATGTTTGACACAATGAATGGAGAAAATGGGAGGAAGGCCAGGGATCCGGCTGGTCATGTTAGATGGGTAAAGACGACAGGCAGTCGACCTGGTTTACGATAAGCTAGCTGTAGGCAACGTAATCATGAAGATATTGAGAATGAAGAAAGATTCAACAAGGCATAAAGTTCCTGTGATTTGTTTTTGTTAAAGAGCACCCATTCATTGTCCTTTAACTCTTTTGTTGGCTTGTTGGTTCTTCAGGCTAAGGATATTCTAATATCTAAGAAGAATGACAGAAATTCATCTTCATACCTTGCTACTTCTTACCTTAACACCTTCATGAGATTTACCTAAAATACGCTTGATTCGGTCATTGTTAGCAGGGTACGACTGCACTCAAGCAAAGAACACAAGTGCACATGGACACGAGAAGCTCTCTATACGTGAATTGTTTGTATTACAACTGTGACTAGGCCTGCGCCACAGATAAACTCCTGCGCCACTCGCCCATCTATTCCTTTGGTTTTAGACGGTCTGTGTACCGTATCCTCTAATCCGTTCAGCGAATGCCCAGCTCTGGGCCTCGAGCTTCAGGTCGTTGGTAATCTCGACACCATCCTTGGTGACGATGGCCAAGGAGTATGAGTCCAGACTGCGGGCGTCGCGGTAAAATAGCACCTTCATACACTCCTTGATAATGTCGACGGCTCCGTCCTTGTCAAGATTCTGAGCAGCCTCCTCATCGGGGACGTGGCGGCGCATGATGGGCTGGGCGAGCATTGCACCGAAGCCGGTGGCCAAACTGGGGGAGCTGTAGGTGCTGCCGAGAAGGTCGGCAGCGGCGAGGAAGGGCTTGTCGTCGTCGTCGAGGCCAGCCACGAGGAGATGGTTCCACAGGGGGTCGAACTTGGAGCGGCGACGGTAGAGAAGCTTGGCGAGGTAGCGGTGGAGGTTGGCGGCGTTGAGGCGCGGGGCGTCAGGGGAGGTGTAGGCCTCATCAAGGGAGAGCTCGATGAGATGGCGGTCGAGGTACTGCATATCGGAGATGTCACCGCTGAAGCCCACGACCGACGAGTCGGCGAAGGAGCGGAGTCGCTTGACGTCGGTGAAGCGGGCGAGAGATCCGTACGAAGCTGTGGAACAATGGTTAGCTATGAATGTTGATGGAGGAGGAGCAATGACGGACCTAGGTTGTCGGCGGCCATGACGACGCCGTCCTTGAACTTGACGGCGATGACGGAGGTACCAGTGACGATGGGCTGCTGGGTGTTTTGCTTGGGGCCGTTATCGCCCATGTAGGAGGCATCATAAGCACCATAGACATCGTCTCTGGGCTGGAGAGTAAGTAGTTAGCACATGGCCTAGAGGAGAGGTACAGTGTGAAAAGACATACACGACCCCAAGCTTGCGGACGGTGATCCATGGTTTCTGTGGTTGAGGATGGAGAGGGAGGAGAGTTGCGTGGTCTTTGTCGAGGAAACAAGATGGAGAAATTAAATGAGATGGCTTGCGACGGGGATCGTTCCGATAGCAAAGCCTGATGCTGTTGGTGATGATGGGAGGTTGTTAGGTGGGGAGGTACTTGCTGGATTGACCTTAACTGTCGCGTCCTACGGCAGCCTGCAACGAAGCAGCGGATGAGGTAGGCGCAGATGGGGGCGGGGGGTTACATAAGCCACAGTGATTGGCTCGGCGGGGGAAGCTGGTCGAGCTGCAGCTCGGTCAGGTCAAAGGTACAAGGCGATGCAGCGGGTGTAAGCGGGGTAGTTTAAGTACATGATACCTATGGAGCTTTTGTGCCCTTGCAGCTTTCCGGGCATTGCAGAAGGGAATGAGCCCAGCCAAAACGTCAACACCATCTCATCCTCTTCAGCCTCATCTTGACCTTTTCAAATTGCTTCCCTCGACACGCGACACCAAATTGTAGCCTCCAATCGCGTCGTCGCCTTCCCGCGATATTGAATTTCATTTTTCAACAAGTTGATCAGTCCCTCTCTTTAGACAAAAATGTTCACCGCCGTCGGTAGGGCCGCTGCCCGCCGCATCCAAGCACCATCTGCCCACCCCGCCGCCGTCGCCCAATTGCTCCTCCGCCAGGCCCCGGCAACCTCTGCGCTTCCCATCCGGACCTTCTCCGCCTCTGCTCCCGCGCACCTGCCCGCCGCGAGCGACAAGAAGTCCAAGGCTACGGCCAAGAAGCCTGCGGCCAAGAAGCCCGCAGCCAAGACGACTGTTGAGAAACCCAAGGCCAAGCCCGTAAAGAAGAACCCTATTGGGAGACCCAAGGGACCCGTCGACCCCGAGGAGGAGAAGAAGGCCGAGATCCGTCAGCTCAAGAAATGGGCTCTCAGGGACACACCCACCCAGCGGCCTATCTCCAAATGGTCCCAGTTCGTCAACGACAACAAGGAAGTGCTGAAGGGCGGCCTTGCTTCTGGAATGCCTGGTCTCGCCACCAAGTTCCAAAGCCTCTCTGCTGCCGAGCTCGACGTGCGCGCCCTCGACTGCCCCCTTGGTATCCGACACTAAGCTAACATATGAATTCCTCTAGAACCTTGAGACCATTGCTATAGCCAACCGTGAGAAGAACGCCGCCGACCTCAAGGCTTGGATCAAGACCCACGAGCCGGCGCGTATTCACATCGCCAACCAGGCCCGTCGCCGTCTCATCAAGCTCACGGACAAGCATTACAAACTCCTTGAGGACGACCGCCTGCCCAAGAAGCCCCTGGGCTCCTACACCCTCTTCACCACCGAGAACTGGCACCGTCTCGGGGGTAAAGACGCTATCGATAGTAGCAAGGACATGAGCGACGCCTGGAAGGCCCTGAGCCCTTCCGAGAAAGCCGGCTACACGGAGCGGAGCGCCGAAGCTTCGGCCAAGTACGAAGCTGAGATGGAGTCCATCCTGGCGCGCGCCGATGAAATCAAGGCCGAGGCGGATCCCAAGAGCAAGAAATAGACGGGATTGTCACTCAATTGAAGAAAGAGAGTGTGTACAATGTCTTTTATTTTGACCGAGGCTGCTACAATAGGTAACGGAAATGCAGGGAGGGCTCTGGGTTCACCGGATAAAGGGAGAGGGATATCTATTTTGCTCGCGCGACTGTATGGAATTAAGTGTACGGTGCTGATGCTGGCTGGTTTTTACGCAGGAAGGTTCTGACACGCACGGTGATGCTCATGATAACATAAAAACACAATGTCAATAGTGTGGTTCATTCATTCAAATGTTGCCTCATGCTCTCGTGTCATCATCGTCAATCCAACCCGCCGTTCCCTATGTATGGATAATCATGATATAGCCCAAAGCCAACCAACGCCTCGCTTCTCATGCTGAAAGCATTCCCAGACCCAACAAAGCGTATATCTCCTAGGAATAGCCATTCTGTAAACCCCAGTTCACCGCCGCAGGTTTCATAATCAGGCCTGCTTCTCGTATGGCGGCACCTCGATAGCCAACTGCCCATCTGCGCCATACCAGCCCGCCCCTGTCGTCTTAAGCTGCCTCCCACTAGCCAAGTATAGGAGAAGATATGTATATTTCGCAACGTGCCCCCAGCAATACAGGCGAATCCAGTCGTGACTTTTGTCTCGACGGCACCATGTACCCCAGCCTGCTAGGCCACTACGTAGGTAATTGCCCAGGAACCCCCACGTCTCGAAACGGATCTCAGCACTCCAGTCTGTGCAGTCAAGAAGCCAGTAGCCCCGTTCGAAGGGGTCTACAGCCCGTTTGGGGTCTGGACGATATCGAGACGACAAATCTCGGGCTAGTTTGGCGAGCTTCGCCGAGATCAGATCGGAAGGGTCCACATCATCTACCCCAACTGGGGGAGAGGGCGGCCGTATCTCGAGGCTGTTGCTGAGTTGTTCCACCTGCGACCCCCTGACTAACAGTGTTGGAACTGTGTCGCTCGAGCTTCGGACTAGATCACCATGCTGCGGGTGGTCCACCCTGGGTCGTTTGGCCGGCGGAGGTTCTGAGCCAGCACGGGGTGATGCAATTGGTGACCGAGAACTGACTATGCTGCTTGATATGTGGGTGATATCAGGGCCCAAATCCCCAAGAAGTGCATTCTCAGTGTTGTCTGAAGCCCCTGGCGCCTCAACGACCTTTGGCACTTGCGGTGTCCTTGGAATGATGGTATTGCGCTTTAGATATCCAGGCTGCTCAAGTGGTAACGATTCATCTTGCAAAGGGATCGGCAAGGAGGACGGTATGTCAATCTTGTCTGAGTCTAACAGGAGAGGCAGTCTTTTCCGAGTAGTCGGAGATGGAGGCGTCGGCGAAGCCTGTGACGACCCAGTCCGGCCGATATAACGCTGTAGCACACGGGAAGGCGAAACGCTCAGCAGCCCGGCATCTGGCATGGGGTACGAGTCACTAATCTGGCTGGGCGGTGCGTACCAGGACTTGACAGAACCACCTCCAGTCTCCTGAGACGACATGGGGACCCCTTTCTCAGCTGGCACCGTGTACCGCATGCAAGGTGACGAGCGATTATCCAAAGCACCTTCAAAGCTCAAATCCTGGGACCCAATCTCAAAGGATTGCCCAAACGATGCGGTAGCCATGTCCTGGCTGGGCGACGGCACTACGGGAGCCTGGAGCTGCTCCTGCTGTGTAACGCGCGCTTGCGCATTCACCCATGACTCCGTCGACGGGAGTGCCGTGCGCGTTTGAGGCTGAAAGGCGAGATATGCCCGTGCGAGCTGGCGGTAGACGACATCATCGGCTGCGCGGCTGGGTGCGGTGATGTGAACGAGGATCTCGGTGTCTTCCGCGCTGCTGCTGCTGGCCATGATTTGAGTGCTGTAGGCAGAAAAGCATGGCGATGGATGCGGGAGCCTGAAAGAAGAAGAAGAACAAAGAAGCGTGGTTCAGGTGGGTTGCCAGTTATATGTTGTTATCCACGTCGTTCCAAGACAGAGCAACCAGAAGCACGAGCCAGTCGCCAGTCATGGGCATGTAAGAATACAAGAGCAACAGGCAACAAAAGATCCAAGTCTGAAGAGACTAGAGAAGAGCCTGAGGTCTACAATCCCTAGGCAAACATATGGAATGTGGTTGATGAATAGTGGAGGAGTGAGGTCTCGTGACGCACGAGATTCACGGTCTGAAGTAGACGCCGCTGAAGATTCAAGCCATGTACCTCTCGACCAAAGCACCTGGCACCTTCCATCTCCAGCGGACTGACGGGTGCCAGGCCCGCTATAGGTCAAGCCACACAACAGCCTAATGGTCAGTGTCATTAGCCTAAGGTCACTCAATCAGCCACACAAGGACCCCTGCTCAACCACCAAAAAAAAGGTACGTATCCACCATCGACGACAGATTAGTACTACCCCAGGATCCATCCATCAAGTGCTCGCTCTCCTCCGAGACACTTGGCTCGATTCCTCGTCCCTCTCCAATTCCCCTCCAACGACCTTCCTCCGCTTAAACTCAGCCATGTCGGAATCCACAGAGTCCAAGTCCAGAGGCCCCCTCGGCCGAGTTGTTGTCATCGGCGGCAACGGCTTCCTTGGACACCACATCGTCAACCAAGCCATCGAGTCGTGGACCACCACCGCCGTCTTCGGCGTCGACCTGCGGTGCGAGCGCAACCGCAACCCCTCCGCCGAGTACCGCGAGTGCGACATCACCGACCCCGAGCGCCTGCTGTCTCTGATTGAGGAGCTCAAGCCCGACGTCGTCATCCACACGGCGTCCCCCGTCGCCAACAACCCCAAGATCGGCAACGACATCTTCAAAAAGGTCAATGTCGACGGAACACAATCTGTGGTTGATGCCTGCGAAAAGGCAGGTGTCAAGGCTCTTGTCTATACCAGCTCTGCCAGTGTCATCAGCGACAATGTCAATGATCTGCTCAACGCAGATGAGCGGTGGCCATTGATCCGTGGAGATCAGCAGACCGAGTACTACTCCGAAACAAAGGTCCGTCGTCGCGCCCTGCCTCGCTGGGAACTCAACTAACATGATATCCGCTATAGGCTGCTGCCGAAGAGCTCGTACTCCAGGCGAATCGCAAGGATGACTCCAAGCTCCTCACTTGCGCCATCCGCCCCGCCGGCATCTTTGGTGAGGGTGACGTCCAGACCCTCGCCGGCATCCTCAACGTCTACAAGCGCGGCAAGCACAACGTCCAGGTCGGCAACAACGAGAACCTCTTTGACTTCACCTATGTTGGCAACGTTGCCCACTCCCATCTCCTCGCCGCCCAGCTCCTTCTCGCCACTGCCGCCTCCCCCACTGTCCCCCTCGACCACGAGCGCGTCGATGGTGAGGCCTTCTTCATCACAAACGACGAGCCCGTCTACTTCTGGGACTTTGCCCGCGCCATCTGGCACGCTGCCGGCCATGACAAGGGAAAGGAGGGTACTTGGACCCTGCCGCGCGAGTTGGGCATCGGTCTCGGCTTCGTCAGCGAGGTGTTTGGCAGCATTCTGGGCAAGACCCCGACTCTCACCCGCAAGGCCATCATTATGAGCTCCATGACCCGCTACTACAACATCACCAAGGCCAAGCGTGTCCTACGCTACAAGCCCCTGTGGACGTTGCAGGAGGGCATCAACCGTGGTGTGGAGTGGTTCGCTGAGCAGGACAGACAGCAGGCTGCTGCTGCCAAGGCATGATTTATGATCAGGGCCAAGCTTAGAACGAACAAATGAGTAAGAGGAGGGCTCTAATGAAAAGGGATCGAGGGAGAAAAAAAATCCATATCCAGCCATGAATGTACATACCTGGCTCTTATATCCACACAGGCCGAGGTTTAATATAACAAAGACGCTTCAATTTTTGACGCACACACCATTTCACAAATGATACAGTAATAAGCGCAAAGGAACCAGCTGGTACTCGATTGTCAAGTCGTGAATACCCAATCGGAACAGATTCTATTGTTCCTATCTCTCTGCCATCCATCCATCCATTCATGCCATGTTCCATCCGTGACCAAAAACCCCTTCTGATCCCGGAATGAAGCCAACATGTTGCATCCTCACATCTGACCCATCATCCACGCACCCGCGAGAGGAATGTTCTGTGCATCCTCATCGCTCTGCTTCCGTGTCTCTCCAGGGAATCAACCCGTTCACATGGTTACTCCATCCAACGCAGGTATAGAAGAAAGAAGACAAGAAAAAAAAAGATGACAACACCCCCTTTTGACCCTTTTTTGGTTTCATGAAAAAGGCATCAACCTCCGGGCCCCCCAAAAAAGAATAAGAACTTAGTCGAGAATCGAAAAGGGTAAAAAAAGAACCAAGCTCTTGCATGCCACCTTGGTGATAGGGGGAGCAAAGGAACGGCATAGAGCAGTGGGTGGGAAGTGAACAAGACACGGAGATAAACATCCATCGTCTTGTGGGGAGATAAAAGTCGAGAAACTACCAGGTCCATCGTGTCGTGCGGGAACAGGGTTAAGTAAGGGGTTGTTGGCGATCTGCTTTTTTTCCTTTTTCAAGGGGGTGATTGATAATAACAGGCGGAGGGGGAAGCGAAGAGGAACGCCGTCGACCATGCAAATGACTCTACTCCCAAATCATGCCTCCTGAACTGAGTAGCGAAACGAAATGAAGCTTAGGATTGGGCATTGCCTGGCCCAGAAGGTGAAGGATATCGTTGGAAAGTATCATGAGTTGCCCGACACACCAAGCCCGCTGCCTTGCCGGGCGAGACCCGAGTTGCGCCATTCCCGTCGCCTGCTGTGCTCGGCGCTATCGAGCTGGCTGTCCGACTGGTTGAACTGGTTGGCAGCGTACGGTGAAGGGTTGGCTAGATCATTCCGACCCCTCCAGCGTGTCGGAGGCGTGCCTGGACCGTTGTTGGCATGGGGCATAGGAGGGTCTTGCATGGGGCGGACGCTGGCTTCGCCCTGCCACAGGGCAGGGTCCGTCTCTACTCGCCGGGCTGGTGGTCGTGTAGAGTTGTCTTGACGGTTGTAGACCTCGTTGACCTCAGTGATCGAGATCTGCCCCCGTCGATCTTGGAACCGCTTGAGAATCTCCTTGGTTGTGATCTCTCCGCTGTTGCTGAAGATGTAGGGGTCGTTGAGGAGGCCAAGGATCTCGTCGGGAACCTATATCCATGTTAGAAAACGCTCCACTGGGCTGAACAACCTAGGCATCTTACCTGGCACATCTCCTCGATATGCGTAATCATCATTTCTACAGCATCAATAACATAAATGGCCTCGCTATCCAGGGCGGGTGCTCTGGATGGGTTCGTAAGGATGTTGGGTGCAATAACAGTCGCAAGGTTTCTGATGTCCATCTTGGAACCAACCTCCTCGTCCAGCTGGTGGAAGGACCCTGCCCACTTAAGGAAGCTGAAGAGAATCTCGAGACTGTCTCGGTGACTCTTGGGGAGAAGGCAGCATGTGAGGTGTAGACACTGCTTCCTCTTCTCTGCGTCTGAGATCTTGGCTGCACTGATCCATAGCCTGTACAGTTTGTGTGTCATCAGGGGGTCCGGCAGATCTCGCAGGTAACGCTTGAGAAGAGCTGCGAGCTGGATGACGGGCTGTTCCATAAAGTTTACCACATCGCATCCTTCGGTGTTGATCTTCTCTACCAGACCTTGCTGTTTCTTGATGTTGCCGTTCTTTCGGAACACACCCTCGACTGAGAGATCCATCTTGCGCATCGAAGATACAATGTCGTCGATAACAGCTGGGATGCGAAGTGTGCCGGGTCCGACGCCGTCTGTAGACTCTGCACCGTCCCTCTCGATGATGATTTCGAGTGGTACACCAAACACACCCTTCTTCTTGACACTCTTGTTCTTGTCGTTCTTGAATGCCTTTCCAAGATTCTTCCAGAAGGTCGCTTGCTTACGCGACTCGATGAAGCTCAGAAGCTCATCCAGTGTGAACTCTTGCTCAATCATGGGTTGCATGGTGAGAACGGCGAGATGGCGGACGTTGAAGTATTCGAGGCCAGAAAGCTCCGAGAAGAACTTGCGGCCGATTCGCTCGGGGAAGCCATCACCACGGAATTCTCGCTCACGATCGGCCGACTGTGATCGCTGATGGCCTGAGCCGCCTGGTGCGTCAAGAGAGCGATCAGAGAAGGGCTGTGGAGTCCTTTGCTGCTGTTCTCGGGACTGCTCAACAGCTACTATCCTCGGAATGTCATCGAGGGTGATGCCGTCGTTCTGCCCAAACATGAGATCGGTAGAACCTTGGGGGCCATGGCCTTGCCCACCGTCTCCAGCTGAGCCAGGGCGTGGTGCCCGACCGTCGGGATCCATTACGCGAGAGGTTCGGGCTTGTCGCACACTAGATGACAAGTGACGATCTAATCGCGTACTTCGGAGTCTGCGTACATCATTCAGAGTGTTCTCATAAGACGACTCACGATGACTGTCCTTGTTATCACCTGGACCCCGTGACCGAGAATCAGCACGCGGCCTTGCATCGTTGTCATGGCCACCAGCTGCGCCATAACCGTTACTGTTGGGGTCTTCGCCGGAGCGCGGAAGGGTTCCATTGGCTCTTAGAATATCCAGCAGGCGAGCCAGAGCAACCCGGAGAAGGAATACGTATTGCTGCAGCTTGGAAATATGCTCAAACTTCATTGCGGATTCGGCGTTGGGGCCAACACAGTTTGTGCAGTAAATCTTGCGGTCGAAGGCGTTGAAACGGGCTTCCTGCAAGGCACGGCCGAGCTCACGCCCACACCTTGTACACTTGACGCAGGTCAGATGCCACCTCATGTCGGCGTTCTTGGCACACTCGTCCTCGACAGATCTATGGCAGAGGGTGCAGTGGTCCGAGTCGTGCGATGATAGTCGCGAACCGTCCGCGTTCACTTGCAGCTGGCCATTGTCGTTCTTGACGGCGTCTAGGTCGCTCAGGTCGTCGAGGAACTGGTAGAGACCGGTGGAGGCGCTGGCTTCACGCTCGAGGCGCAGCGCCCCTTGAAGGCAAATTCGGATGAGGAGTTTGAGGTAGTGGGCGAGACCAGTGACGAGGGACAGCAGTTCCTGTGTGACACCCAGCTTGTGGCCACCACTGTCTTGCGTCTTTGACAGCAAGGAGAAGAAGGACACAATCTTCTTACATAAAAGCTTGGCTTCTCGGCCGTAAGACATACCTGACCAAAGTTAGACTGGCGCACATCATCTCGGGCACATGCAGGGTCTTGTCTTTACCTTTCTCATTCAGGCCCACCATTGTCGCGTCGAGTCGGTCCGCCGATTGGAACAAGATCTCGACGTGCCATATGAAGCGCTTCGCGACCAAAACTCCATCAACATAGGCACCGTTGCTAACGTGGAGGAGCATGTCGGATATACAAGCGGCCGATGATTCCTCAAAAGTCGAGAGTACACTCCATATTCGGAAGACCTTCTCCTCCATGCGCTCCTCCTCCTCGCGGATGAGGTCTCTGCCCGCACGATCATCTGAACTCTTGAGAGCGGGCGGTGAATCTGTGGGCTGCGCCAGGCGCACATTCCAAAACTTGTGAATCATGTAGCACTCGGGGTGCCAATGCTGGTTTTGGCCGTTCCTAAAGATCTCGACAAACTGCTTCAGGATGGCTGTCTGGCAGCCATTGCAACGCTGCGCAAACTGTGTCGAATAGTGATAATGGCAGTAAACATTCCCATCGTGCTCGTAGTAACTATCCTGGGCGCCGAATATCGTCGAACATAATGAGCAGGTAAAATGGTCGACATGGTACTTTCGGTCTAGGGCGGTGATGTATGAGCCACGCAGGGCGCCCCCGCACTGGTAACAGAGGAGGCCCAACCGGCGGAAGTAGTCCGTCTCGCATAGGGGATACTGTCCCTGGCCGTTCTCGTCGTCGGCCGGGAAGAACTTGGATGCTACTATCTCACCGCAGTCCTGTCCCTTGGTTAGTATCGACACAGAACAATACGGGGTGTCTTGGGCGCCGCACCTGACACTTGAAACAGTCGAGATGAAAGGTTCCTTCGAGGGCTCGAACAAACTGGCCCGTTAAGGGCTCACCGCACGCCTGGCAGGTCCTCGTCTGACCGCTGGCAGATCTTCCTCCTCGCCCTCGCGACCTGTTCCGCTCAACACTTTTGCGGGGCGGCTGATCCTCAGCCCATCCGGGGGGAGGAGGATTAGGAGTGCCCGGTGCAGAGGCGGGCGGCCTAGGGCGATAGCTGCTGTCAGGCGTCCTCGTCCGGTGTTGCCCACCGTTCTGCCAGCTTGAATCGGGGTGCGGAGGCACGTCGGAGCCGGTATGGTCGCGGGATTGGTCGCCATGACCAGGTTCGCCCAGCATCGCGTCGTCGTAACCCGACGCCATGATGAGAAGCAATCAGGAACGTCGTCGAGATGCTCAGGCCCCCCTCCAAACTCCAAACTAATCAGTTACGAATGGGTCCTCGGCGCCGAGTGTCCAACAGAAGTCGACGGGCGTTCGCAGCGGTCGGCATCAGCGCCAGCAGTGGTGGGCGGCGGCAGCGGCAGCAGCGACGACGAAGGTATCGATGCCAATTGGCGAAGGCAGGCGTATGATGTGGTACGCAGCAGAAGATAGTCTCGGTCGAGGGAGAGGTGAGAGCGAGTATGGGCTGGTGTTCGCGTGACGGCCCAACGATAAGCCACCCAGTTCGGACTGGGGTGATGGAGGAGGTGGCGGGAGGAGCAAGTCGGTGGCAGTGAAGTGAAGCGGCACAAGACAGCAGGGACCCGGTAGCATGCGAGGCTGGAGCATGTAAACAGCGAGGCTGAAACGAAGAAAAACAGAGACAATGGAAGAAGATGCAGTACGAGACGCGGCGCAGCGCGTCTGCGGCGGCGTGGATGAAGGAGCGTGGGAGTAAAGTCGAAGCCTGTCGTGGGAGAGTAAGGTATGGAGTAGCAGGAGGCGCCTGGTGGTAGGGGAGCTGAAGTCGTGGAAACGATGGGGGGGAGAACGTGGTGGTGGTGGAGGAGCCCAGGTGGAGGAGACTCCCGCTTAGAGGGTACCTTCACCAACAATAGGGGATTGGCACCAAGGACGGGCTACCTAGGGGCCAAGGCAGGTACCTCGAGGTGCTTGGGTACCTACCTAACGGCGGGGGGTTACCTAGCGGTTCTGCGCCGCCAGATCAGGGAGCCAGGTAAGAGATGGCCCCAGGGGAGTCGAGGTAGAGGTACTTTCCTGGGCGATCGGATAGCAGCAGGAGTCCCACCTGGTAGCCCAGGCAGTATAGATTATTTTACAATGAAGCCGGGCAATAAGGCGGATAGATAGCTAGGTTGGTACCAAGAGATGAGAGACGAGGCATACATAAAACCTGATAGCGCAATTTTTTTTCTGGCTCCTGCAAGAGCTGACTTGATGAGAGGAGGCCCATCTAATGCAATGCGAATGGATGAAGGTTAGGTTGCTGCTGCTGACGGGCCGGACCCTGTGCGTGTTTAGGCGTTAGGGGCGTTGGATACTGCAATTTCCAGGCCGGCCACGGGGAGCCACGTCGAGGTAGCGATACTAAAATAAAAATAAACGGTGGAGGTTTCGAAAGTCGCTTCCTTCAGGTGCAGGTCGCCGTCAGCACTGCCTGCCAGGGCGGGTATTATTAGTAGGCAATCACAATAAAGAATACATTTGGATTGGATTGGACCGATCAGATGGGATGGCAGCCCGCCATTTTGCCTTCGAGTCTGCCCTTTCTCTCTCTTGCTCAGGCTGAGCAGGGCTCCAGATGTCTAGGACTGCCGTCAGCATATCGTGGCATCCAATGTCACTGAGATGGAGCCCCCAGAGTCATCTTCTCAGCCCGCCTATTCCCCTTCGAGACCCGACCCGACAGGACCCAGGCAAGGCATTGCTGCAGCAGTGGGAATGTCTCCATCGCATGGATGGGTCTTGAGGCGTTTGAGCCTGAAGTCTGAAGTCTGCCTGAGCCTCTGGACCACAGACGACTGCATCAACCATCCATGGTATGGTCAAAGCTAGGGGCGCACTACCACTGCTATGCTCGCTCCCAAGAGTTACCCATGACAGACCCTGGGCAGAGCCCCCCGGCTTACCTGACACTCGCAGGTTTCTCACCATTCATCATGGGTCGATGAGGTCAGTTCCAGTCCCCAGATTTCCCTCGGACCTGTCAGACATGGAACACGTCCAATGGATCGGCCGCCTTCAAACGAGGTCCGCTTTGGCTCCTTGAGAGAGAGAAAAAAAAAAAGACCCAGAGCCCCCTGGTAGCGCACATAACCTTGCCCTTTCTTGAAATTGCAATGAAGATCTCATCACGTGTGCAGAAGCCTAGGGGGGGTTTTAAGTTGCAAGAGGGTCAAGGCATGTGTCTACTAAAAAGACGGTGCATGAGATGGATGAGAGCAGTCAAAATAAAACATGTCACGGGCCATTGAGTGTACACTGACGAGCAGCGAATATTTATGTCGACGGGTGGCTTTTGTGCTATCTTACCTGTCGCAATTTATGTTGCATCGCTGACTTGGTCTACTTGGAACCTTTTCTTGACTCTTGTCCCCTGCAATCTCTCGTCCATGGATTGGGCCACGGACGGATATGAACAGATGCTAATGATGGATGATTGCACGTCTTTATTACACAAGAATAATAACATTCCGGCTCATCAACCAAATCAGTCAAACTCCCGGAATGTGGTGGCTTCTGGGCTCTGGGATATAGTCACGGCCCTTGCTTGGATCTCGCCAGCAGCAGCATGAATTACAATTACAATGCTATAACGCAGCAACAAGCCTATAGCACAAAAATGTTCTCTCTCACCATCCACCCCCCATCATTCGACGTCATTTTAGAAGACGCGCCAGTAAAGCCAAGAGAAACAAATCATGCACACACGCGCAAACGGGAAATCAAGGTCCCCACACTCTTCCCGTCCCCGTCGTACTGGAGGGGAGGCCCTGCCCTGCCCTGTCCTGCTGCTGATGGATGGTTTGTCCAAAAAATCCAACCCCTGAGAATGCCGAGCTCGTCCATTTCGTCTCGTGTACCCGTCTTATAAGCATCGTCGATGCTCGATCCCGACCAATAACATCCTTTTGGTAACATCTCGGGTGTATCCGATGTCGCTGCGGGAGGAGCTGACCAGATCTTGAAACTCACTCACGTGCGAGATGCTCCCGCGGCTCTGTTTCAACTTTCAACCATGCACCAGCTCCTTCAGCCGCTTCTCAATCTTTTGCCGACCATCAAGAGTCTGCCAAACTTCGTGGGGCGCTCCGTCGACAATGTCCCAGTGCTTCAACTTGTTCGTCAGCTTGGTCAGGTCTCGCTGCTTCTTCTCCCACGTGTGACTTCGCTTGACATGCACTCCAGAACTGATCACCACCAGCGGCGTGTCCTTGTCCTGGATCTGGCGGCTGGTCTGGGCATCCCGTCGTGTGAATGAACCCGCCACGAGACTCTCCTGCAGCTTTGCAAAGATCAGCTTGCCTCCCTGCTGGGCTGATCGCCCATATACTCGGTCTCGGCTCGTTCGTCCTCGGAAAATGGCACCTGACAGTCGGTCGAGACCAAGCGGCGAGAGGACACCCTGAAGCCAGAGCAAGAATCCCCAGCCGGGCGATCCCACTTCGCCGAGAAGGTCCTCGTGGAGCGGATCTATGAGAAGCAAACCCTTGACGTGGTCTCCGTTGCGCGACGAGAATACTCGGGAATAAATCGATCCAATACCCGCACTGGCCAGAACCCACGGGCCTCTCTCTCCTGCACCGATCAAAGCCTCGCTGAGGGTATCGATTATGAAACCTGCCGACGACGGCGAGGGCGCGCTGTCTGACCAGCCGTATCCAGGACGGTCGGTGAAGCAGTATCGTGAAATGGATCCGTTCTTGAGGGCGTTGTCGGCAAAGTCCCAGAACTCGTACTCGACAGGTCGCTCGCCGCCCTCAAACAGGACCGTAGGCAAGTCATTGCCCTTGGTGTCGGTCTTGTTCCCGTGGCAGTACACATGGATACGATACTTGTGATTGTCAACCCAGTACTGCTTTCCTGGAGGCACCACGCCCGCATCGAGTGCCCGAAGAATAATAGTGACAGTGATGAGGAAGACGGCCACCGACATGATGGCATAGGCAATGGTTGAGAGCATCACTCCGGACCATTCGAACAGAGTTCGTCGCGTCTCAGCTCGGCCAGTCAATCGCTCCTCCTCTTCTGCCTTGCCCCATTCCACCATGCGGTCTGTCAAAAGTGTCCAAAGGCTCGTGAGAAGAGCCCAGATGACGCTGACGACACCGACCCACCTCTCTTCGTATCGGATCTTTTGTACGGACAAGATCATAACCATGTCGAGGAACAAGATGGCCTGCGTTTCGGGTTAGATCTGTTCAATGGCGTGTAGAAACCCTGTGGCTCGTAAACTTACCGACATGAAGATGACCAGTATCCTGACAGATTTGGATGGCACCTCGAAGAAGAGGAGGGTGAAGATCAAGTTGGCAAGGGTCCAGGTGGTGTATCCAAAGGCAAACCATACGCTGCCTCGAGTCTGTATGCCAGGCGGCGTCGCAAAGGTAGACACGAGCAGCAAGACCCACCACACCAGAGTGATCAGGGTGAAGAGGATTGAGAGATATCGCAAGGCTCGGATGCTCCATAGGTTGTATGGGGTCACTGCTGGATCGTCGGGGGCAAGCAGGCCTCGGCCAGAGTCAACGCGGTTGGGGAGGAGTCGTGTGTGCTCATCTGGTGCTGAGTGCTCTCCGTCTTCGCGCTCGACGCCATTGGCACCATTGGCACCATTCGTGTGCCTGCCATCCTCGCCATCCTCGCTCGAATCTCTCTTAGCAAAGATAGGCATCGTGGGCGTAGATCAACCTGCGAATAGATGCTTCGCCTGCTCCAATCTGTGTAAGAACCAGTCGCTGCGGTGAATCGATTGATCTGTCTTGGTAGTTGTACAATTATATGCAAGCACCCAGGAAATCCCCATGGATCCCAGCTTCACCCTGTTCCTCCCCAGAGTCTATATACCAAGGCCACCATCAACGATGCCAAAAGTAGAATACGTCATTACCAGCCAACTCAGCTCACCGTGTCACCAATCAATGATGCTGGGGGCGCTCGGTGGGAACACTAGCGGGCGGACGCAAGCCTCCGGGTTCGGGAACTTGGGCTGAGCTAGAGCTCATGTGTGAATGGTTTCGTAACCCCATGAGCATCGGCGCAATCTTGACAGAGCCGCAGAAGGGCTGGATTGCGTGAGGTTGACGATGGAGGGCTTTCGATGACGTGCTGTGTGTGATCCAGATGCTCCTAGCCTGCTGTTAGCGTCGAGCTCCTGTACTGTCAGTACGGTACTTCTTCAGCAGTCCAAGGCTGAAACCGGCTTTCTAGATCACATAAAATAGCTTGCCTGCTTGATTACTTAGACAACAAATTGAAGAGTCGTACGACGAGAAGAAGAAAATATCTTTTTCTCATTCCACCATGAGGCTACAGTCGGTACAGTATTTGCCATTGATCTCCGTCCCATTCTTCAATTCGACATGACTCTCACACAATCATCACCCCGCCTACACAAGCTCCAATGACATGCATTCAGCATCATCACTCACATTCCACGCAAGCAGGAATCTCGCGACACCTTATTTCAACGGCTGCGCCCTTGGCTGTCTCCATTCTTGCTGCCTGCTTATGTAGTTGGTGTACAAATACCACCTTGAACTACAACCCACGTGATCGGACAGCACCATCGCCGCCATGGACCAATGAAGCCTGCCAATGAGTGATGCTGCACCAAAGAAAGCCAAAAAGGACAATGCAAGGAGCAAGATGCGAGTAAAAAAGGACATTTACTTGCAATCAAGCAAAAGAAAAGTCACTATGCGTCATCCGGAATTCGAATCCGAGCCTCAACTTATCTCAATGGAAGAGTTGAATCCTAACCCCTAGACCAATGACGCTTGTTGAATTCCAACTTCATCAGAAGGTTTATAGATGCAGAGGAGCTACGGAGAACAAGGGGATGTGACCGACAGAGGCCATAGAATAATTAAGATGAATGGTAGTGTAAACATCGTCCCTTGAACCCAGGTGTGACGAAATTGAAGTCCTATAGGCTGCGTATGTGGATGGGAGCCAACACGCGGAAACAGATGCGGGACAGAGAGCTCCACACAAAGTACCAGTATGATGAGCAATAATCAGCGAGTTTAGAGACTTACAACTCATCCAAGGCAGTATCTTCCTGACGCTTGAAGCATCGGTGGGTTGAAGAAGTATGAACATGATGTGTTGGCTCTTTACGTTGTATGACTCGGTATGTCTATACCAAAACGCCATGATCCTCGACCAAAGTATCTCGGTCTATTGCCAGCTCAAAGTCGATCATACTCCCAGTATAAAAGAGTCCTAGCTTGGAGCATCTATCAAGGCACAAGAGTCTATGTACGATCCTGCCAAAGAGAGAAACGGACAACATGGGATAAGCGCACACTAGGCCTCGAGGACCAAATCCGAGAAAGAGAAAAGAGCTGCAAAGGAAATTCAGTCGTACATATCACGAATCTTCCAATACTGGCATCAAAGAGCAACATAATCGTTTTCCAAATGGGCACTAGCATGAAATGGGCGCGAGGAAATTGCCAACTAGTTGATCGGGCCAGAGGAACAGGGGACGAGCTGTCCACGCGGATTCTCACCACACCGACCATTCGTCACCGTACAACACCTGACACCCGAGTCAAGGACTCAAGCCATCTAATCAGATAATGTCTCAAGCGGCTTACTACATTCTAAACTGCATGGGCCCAATTCCATTCTCTAGCTATCGTCGCAACTAAACAACATGTAGTGAAACAGAAGCAGTCGGTGTGTATCTCGTCGTGCAATTCCATTGTCAGCTAGGTATTGTTGGGTATATTAAATCCCATCTCCATTGTTCCAGACTCCTTTTCCCCCATTGACTCCGGGCTGTGTTTATGACATAGGAAATAAATCAAGGTAAAGAAATGCTCCCTCCAGGTCCTCATTCATCATTAGGTGTAGATCAAAAGTGGCATTCAAGTGTCCCATGGTGTGACCGGGTTGAATTCCTTGGCACTCGGGACCGAGTAGATACTGCTCGACATCGAGTGCGACGATTGGCTAAGCCCCGAGTAAGACTGTCTCGACTGTTGTTGCTGCTGCTGTGCTCGCTTCAGTGCCTTTTCTGGGCTTGGGCCGCTCGTAGAAGTGATGGCGTTATCGGGGATCTTTCCAATTGGCAAATGCAACTTGGCTGCTGCCCGAGGGTCGTTCATATCAATGCCATGTCGCTTGTACGTGTTCCTCTTCTGCTCCTTCATGGCCTGCGCGGACGGCTCGCTCACAGAAAGCCAGTCCTTAACTTGAGTAAACCACCTTGGCTTCCCGGACTTGGACTTTTGCTTATGTGAGGATTGTAGAGAGCTGCGAAGCCTCTCGTCCCCACTAACAGAAGGGTCATAGTCGGATTGTGAGGGACGTGATGTGAGGACTGATGTGCCTGAGCTGGTAAAAGTGTCGGGCGATGAACCTCCTGGGATGGCCATGGTTGGGATTTTTGGTGTTATTGGATGAAGCTCTCCAAAGTCAATTGATTTCGATGTCGTCTGATAACTGCTTGAGAAAGGACTGCAGTCGGCGTCCGTCTCTCTCGTGTGCAACTTGTGTGCTAAGCGCGGATCATGCAAGGACTGAGAAATTAGAACCTTTGCATCCAGAGATCGTGTATTTTTGTGCCGGACAAGAGTTGCCCGTGGTGATTTCGAAGAACCGGAGGTGTTGATTCTGCTGTTGAAGATGTACGGAGAAGTGGCTGGGCGCGCAGTCTCTGCACTCGCTCTTGCCCAGTCTCCGTCTTGAACTGGTGAAGTCTTGAATGGGTCCGAAAGCGCGAAACGGCCAAAGATAATACTCTTTCGACGTCTCTTTGTCTGGTTCTAACCGACGTATGGCAGAGGCGAAGTCTTTGAGGGCAGTGCAGTTCCTTCAACGTCGTGTGAACCGGATGGGGCCGAGGTCTGGATTTGCCAGTGGGTTGGTGTCTCCTCTGGGTCTTGGGTATGAGATATCAGGACACGACGAGGTAGTCCAAGAGAGGTAGGATATGAGAAATTTCGCACAGGCACTGGTTTAATGGGTGCTGGTGGTCGGGGATGAATCTGAATGGGTGGATAATCGATATCAATAGGCGTATCCGAGGCAGGCATAATCCTTCATCCAAGGAAGGGTGAAAATATTTGCTCCCAACAGAAGCGGAAACAGACCAAAGATATCTGTTGGAATTTCAAGGCCAGAGTGGAAGGGAACAAGCACAGCCAAAGACCGGATGGGAGGGTAGATTCCAATTCTTGACAAATGCAGGAACCGATGTCAAGTCCCTAGCAGCGTAACGTCGATTCGTCAGGTCTTGGCCTTTAGAACAGTGGTAGAAGGGTGAGCGAGGTGCGCGAGTCGTGAACGGTGTAAGTGGCAGGCACTTTGGCTGCAACTAGAAAGACGGCGGAAACTTGGCGGAGGAATGGAAGAAGGAAGCGAAAATGAGGCGCTTCTTTAGTGAAAAGAATTGTCAGGTTAGTGAGGAGGATGTGAATGAATCGGATTTCCAGAGAAGAAGATGAAGCTGGGAAGAAGAGGACAATAAATGAAGGCAGAGGGGGAAGCCTAAGGGAAGGGGCCGAGGGACTGGGGGAGGAACTTGGAAGGAGGGAATGGGAGTTGCGTACCTCCCCCGTTATACCAATCATGAACTTGCTCCCGCCTCACCCTCCTTCAAAGCCCCCGGCGTCATCTTCACACCCACCGTCACAAATCACAATCCTCCACACCCTCGCGGGTAGACTTGCATCGTTACCCACATCTTGGCTTCGCACTTAAGAGCTGGCCCTGCTGGCATCTGCTGGTGGCCCAGGTGGGCAATCCGACAAGTGTGGATGGGTCTGTAATTGGGTCTGGGGACACCAACAAGGGACAACAAGTCGAGGCCTTTTCTTGAGCTGCCCTGTCGAGCTGCAGTGGTGGGCGGAACGGTGCAACGGTGGGTGCCTGTGGCTTCGTTTCTTCACAGCTGAGAATGGACGTCTCGGTAGGTGGCGTCGACGGTGCGTCCAACAACTCAATCTCTCCTGGGCAAAGTGCCTGGACAAAAGTCCGCCTTGGGCCGCCGGGATGCCAGATGCTTCTTGTGAATCCTGGCCCGTCATTTGCCGGAGCTGCCGTTAGCGCATGTGCCACATCTCTGCTCTCGCAGTTTTGCGCACAGCTAATCGAGCTACTGACGTCTAGTCTCGTGTCAACGGTGCCAAGTTGCCCGAAGCTGAATCAACCCCCATATTACGCCCGTGGTCAGTCGACAGTCAAGTGTCAGGCGCCTCGCCCAGCAAGATGTTGTCCCAGGCCGAGCTAAGAAGGTCCATCACCGAGGGAAACGGAATCATCAATGCCGGCCTTTACGGCATCATGGCATCAACGTTTGAGCGACCCTCCCAGGAGCTATACCGTCCCGGTCTAGCGGCGATCCAGCCAGCGACAGGTTCAATAGTCCACTATTGTACCCTGGCAGCCGGGCTGTCGAAAATCTCCTAGTTTACAATTCCCTTGCAAAGGCCGTCCAGGGCCCAAATTTGTCATGGAGACGTGGAGATCCGTCTCGAATCCAGACCTTTCCGGACGCGTGGAACCTGCGGGTCAGCTGGGGAACTCTTGTGTTCTCGAATGACGGTTCCAAGCCTTGTTGGACATGGGACAGCAGGCGAGTTGCTCCGCCGTTAAGATGGGAGATTATCGACGGTGAAGAGTAGAGATGGACGGTGCACAGAGGAGATGGAACTAAACGAGGAGCTGTCAGGACGGAACTCCCAAGGCATGTTGTTCTACAAGGACCTCGGCATTGCGGTATCGAGTCTAACGCGGGTTCAGCATCGGAAAAAGCAATTTGGACTGCAGGCATGGGCAAAAGCAAGATTCCCATTGTCTTACTCTCGTGCAGATAGCCGCCACGGTGAACCAGTTGGAAGCAAGACTGAGGTCATTACTGCAAGACGCAAAACTGCCCACCAATGTCCCGTCACCGACGACGGGTCCTGGACTCCCACCGCAGGGCTGGCTTGCCGTCTATTTCCAGCGCCCCTGGTCCTCGTTGGCTCACGACTGCGCCTAGGCACGGGCCAGATCTAGACCACTCGAGGGCTATAGATTATAGACTGAGAAACAGGACATTACAACCCATCCCAAGATGAAGTTCTTGCCGAGAAGAGAAAACACTGTTGGTTCTGACCAATTCCTTGGTGACAGCTGACTCATTTCCCAGAAAATGTTGTTCAGAGCAGCCATAGCTCCCTTCAAAAGCAGAGTAGTCCAGTGCAGCGCACAGCCGCTAATGCAACGAGTGTGGATGGCCACAGACAAGGCGCTGCAACACCAAGCCAGACAAGCACACAAGCTTTTCTGGGCGCAGGATCTGGGGCCGAGGGATATTATCCCTTTCCAGCAACTTGGTACGATGAGGCTCAAGCTGCCTGTGATCGACGGGTTGCCGGGATCGACGTTGAAATTGTGGCATAATGACTCGGGTAGACATTCGAGAAGGTCCATCATGACGATCCCAGGATCGACAAGCCGTTGGCAACGTCAACCACCATGCCGGTACCTCGGAAGCATTTCTCGATGACAAGAAAGATAACGATGCCTTTGTATTCCTGACAGCTCACTTCCGCGGACCATCACCCCTTGCTTGCGGCCGTGTGATGTCGGGACGGACGCCGGTGCAAACTCTCGTTGCGATGAGAACAGGGAATAGGAGGTGCGCAGACCCCGTACATCCAGTACACAAAAGGTGAAGGGTGTCTTATTCTGGTGGCTTCGTCATTGTGACAGTATGGGTCCTACACACCCATCCCATCCTTTACAGGCTCACAAGACATTTGAGCGTGCTTGTGCCTGGTGGATTGGGGTCTGTCTCCCTGTGTGTGAGTGTTTGTGCGTCAAAACGCAAGGTGGCCCGTGCTCTCTCTTGATCGGAACTAGCGCAAGATCTTGTCCGATCGCCGGGTGTGGGGCCAGGCGATACCACCTTGGCCCACTTTCCCTCCGACTTCACCCCGCCTGAGTCGTCGAAGCCTCATGATGCCTGATGCTTTTTTGACCTCTCCTCATGCGCGCTCATTGATGAACCCTCTTCTCCTTGGCCGGCCCAACCCTCACTAGACTCGACCTGAACCTGAACCTGGAAATAGGCTCCCGCGGTGGCCAAGCGTTGCACTCGGTCCCTCTAGTCTCCGTCTCGAGCCGTCTGCTAGCCTTCCGACCCCGCCAAAAGCTCCCGCTGCGAGGGGGTTGCCTGCTTGCTTGAGACATATCGCATACATCCCAAGTGTCCTCTAGCCTGGTGCAACATTCTCTTTTTTGACCCTGTCTCTCTTCTTGTCCCTCCCTCCCTTGCTTGTTCCCGTCATCGCGTCCTGCAAGCCTCTCCCTTTCGGGTTCCTCACCCACCGCTGCCGCTGTCGTCACCTCTTTCCGAGCTCGGCCTGCCTCTCCGCCTCCGACGCGCAGGCCCGTGCAAACATCCGTCCTACCAGCCTGACCCCTCTCCCCGCGCACCTCGATCATGCCCGCCTTGACAATTTCCACCGACAACCTCCCAAGCGACAGGCCTCCCTCGCCCAACAGGCCACCCGTTTCTCCCCTCACTCCAACGCTGGCTTCCGCGCAGCTCTCCGGGGCTGCTCCAGCCCCCGGCGCCGGCGGTCGCCCGAGTCTCACGCACTCGCAGCCCGACCAGACAGGAGTCCCACCGCCCGCGCCCGTACCGATCGCATTCGACTCCAACCCGGACGTCATCGCGCTCAAGTCTGCCATATCGATCCTTCAAATCCAGCGACAGCGTGCCACCGCCGACATTCAGGCTCTGAACCGCGCAAAGGAAGAGGCCGTCCAGGACCCCGAGGCCTTTGTGAAAGATCTCATAGCGGGAAAGATCAATGCGCCGGCCAACGATGACAGCGACGAAGAGGATGACGATGACGGCGCGGATCAGAAACAAGATAATGCGGGCGAGGGTCCCTCCAAGCAGCGCATCGCCTCTGAGCCGCGGGCATGGGCGAACCTCCCTCAGCCGCAGAACGTGGTCCGCTGCCCACCCATCAACTGGTCGCAATACGCCGTTGTAGGCGACTCTCTAGACAAGCTGCACAACGAGCAGGTTACGCGCCCGAGCCAGGGAACACCGGCCGTCGTGGGAACCAACGGCACGTACGAGTTCAAGGGAGAGGGGAAGCAGGAGAGATATGCAGGTGTCGCTGCACATTTTGCCCCCACGCAGGAACGCCTGAGCAAAAAGTCCAAGTCGAAGAGATGATGAGCAACGATGACACGATCATGACTACAAAGAGGATGATGACCAAGTTCTGCCTACCTTGTTTGAGCGATGTTTCAGGAATGGGTTTCAGTTTGTTGCATCTGTTATATCGGCGTTGATGATTAGACGGGATGGCGCTTCAGAGGGTATTAGCAATATAGCCCCTTGCAATGGGTTTTCTTTTCTTTACAGTAGAATGCCTCTTCGATCCTTCGAGGAGTTTCGTGAGTCCCAAATGTGATATCGAACCTTCACATCACTACAAGCCAACTGGTATGAACAATAGTGAATGCTCTCATGACACTGCTCCTGGCAGGTCAACCTCCCCCGCCCACACCGCGCAGCCTAAATGACCGGTTCACTTCAGGCTAACCACTAATTGAAAGAAGGAGTCCGAATTCCAACCACGCCGAGTTCCCTTGTGTATTGTCACAGACCTAAACGCCATGTGAAATCCGGAAGATGTCTCCCTTATTCGCCTCGTACGCCTCTTCTGAATTCTCAAAGCAAATCCCAGAGCAATCATGGCAAATATGGGTTGCACATCACTCTGGAAAGTCCCTGCGGCAGAGGGTTAGCCACATTCCTACGTAGTAGATATATGGAGACACTGCCAACTTACTCCATGCTCTGCTGGACTGACCGACGAAGCCGTCGGTTGTACTTCTTTTTGTCATCGGCCCCTGCTCCCCAGTACATCTTGCTCGCCTCGGGATTGACGATCTTGCGTGGGTCGTAGGCTGGCTCGTCATCTTCGAGGAAGGAAAAGATGGCCTCGATATGAGATCTCACATCCTCTCTCTTGAGCGGATTGGGTGTGTAGCACGCTGTACCGTCTGACGCAATGTGATGGTGGAAAATCTTGGTCTCAAACTTGACTCGAGGCTGCACTTCGGGGAACCGAGGACTAAAGTTCATCTTGATTCTGAACAGGCCGCCATCAAGATTGGTCATTGGGCGCCCAAAATAGGTAATCACCCATGAAAAGGGGTTGTCGTTCTCGAGGAACACGTTATGGGGCATGTCTCCCCTCTTGAACGCCTCGACGACCTGCTCAAACTGATGCTGAAGGTTGACAGCCACAGTGCTCTCTCGTGCCTTGGAAGCCAGGCCTTCCTCGGCCCATTTCTGAGGCTCTGCGTCAATGGCGGCCTTGATAGTATGAAGGCGACGTTCAAGTTCGGTGTAGTTGAATTTGCCATCCATACTGTTGCTCCCAGGCGACTCGAAAGGCATTCGAGCGAACACCTGGCCGTCCCTTGTTTCAGATTTGCCCTTTTGAACCGCCGCCAAGTACGACTCGAAATACCACAAGAATCGACGCTTGCAGAGATCTTTGAATGGCTCAAATGGCACACTAGACTCGTCGATATCGTCATCGTCGAGATCCCCATCGCTGGCTTCGTCTATGTGTGGGGGGCCGTGGGCGGTCAACCCGAGGTAACCTTCGAGGCGTTGGATGACGGAAATTCGCAACGTTTCGTGGCGGATCTAGCAATGGTTAGGTGATAAGATGGTACGCCTAGACACAGAAGCAAACCTTTTGGACATAATCCTTCTGCGCCTTCTTGTCCGATTCATCATTAGCATCCTCGAAGCCTGGCTCGTTTTCGTATGGGTTCGAGGACAGGAGACTCTGGATGGAGAGTAGAATGGATTCCAGTCCTTGGGCTGACGACCACTCCTCTCCGCGCTCTCCACGCCACGTCCTAGTCTTTATGTCAGTCGTCGCTCGGGGTGGTGAGGAGTTGTCGATTACCCTAGGATAGAACTATGACGGTCAGTTCGGATGTCACCCGCCAGAGAGCAATAACTTACAGGCAGACTTTGCCGCTAGAGTAGATGTTGGGGTTAAACCGACAGCGCCCACCGTTCGTAGTAACGCAGTGGACGGTGGGGGACTTGGAAGGGTAATCTGCAAATGGAGGTGAGAGAGAGCACCAGTGTGAAGCGGGAAGTCCAACCTTTGTGAAATCGGATAGCGAACTGCATGTCTCATTTAGCTACTTCTCACTCGGGCATGTTTATGAATCGTTGGCGACCAACCTCAAAAAGGCCAAACTCGTACGGGGTCTCGTGAGGGCCCATGATGAGAGCCTTGACATTGCGAACATCGATGTCGCGACATGCCACGGCGAGTGCTACGGTCGGTGGCGGCAACGTTAGATAATGAATGCAGAAACTTGATGAGCGTACATACACAAGTCGGAACTCTTCTGAATGTCGCTGAGCTCCTATACGTGATAGTTAGCACCCAGAGGCTCGCGGCGCAAAGACGAGACAAGGGATGGGATGGTGAAGGCGAGTGCGGGGCAAGTAACCTTGGAGATGCGAATGATAGACTGGTCCATGGCGTCTCGTGGGATGCAGATCAGATGAAAGAAGTTGTGGAAATGCTCTTATCTGCAGAGCGCGACGCACATGGACAGGCCGCGACAAAGTTGAGGGCTTTCGATGGTCAACCTGAAGTTGAAATCGTGAGGTGAGGTGAGGTGAGGTGAGGTGCAAGGTGGGAGAATGATTGTTTAAGCCGAGCACGGCAGGAGTGGAGGTGGGCAGGCACTCGCACTTGACTTCAGCTGCTGGCGGGGGCAAGGGTCAGGCTAATGGCGGGGATGGACCGGGCAGGTTGGTTGCTGGCTTGGGCCTAGCCATTTATAGGGCAGGCAACCTACGGACTTCAAAGACGACGTGCAGGTGAGGAGGATAAAGTCTATTCCAGCGTGAATAAAGCCATAAATGCAGGGTAGGGCAAACAAGTGTAATTCATTTCTGTCTGTCTTTTTCATCACACGCAAGCACCTGAAATGACTGTTGGTGCAGAGTACTTACAATAATCTCTGCCAAGCACATAGGGTAGGAGTCACTGACTGGGCGGCTACGTGCGTCCATCAGCCAACACTCGCATGCAAGTTGCCATGATCCATGCAAGGGTTTTGGGCGGTAATACTGGCACCCGCCTGGTGATTGCGAGCCTTTTGGCTGGGTTATGGTCATCATAGGGGATTTAAGCTGAAAACCAGAAGGTCAGTCGCAAGAACCTGCGATCATATACCGTTCACGCAAGCAGACAATATCAATGGGCAAGCTCCACGAGCACACGATGAAGAAACCAGGTTCCTAATGAAATTGTGAAAATGTGTAAACACCCATGGACCTGTACACGCATCAAACTAGCCAGCACATTGAACCCACTGTGAATGGCAGCGCTTGTGGGCATGATACCATGACCAACTTGAACATCCAACCAGGATTTGCCATGTTTATGATCAGCCTAATACCAAGAAAAACATGACTGGTTAAGAACGAGCAAGTAATATTGCATTGATAACATGCACATAGTTATATCTAAGCTTGCTCAATTACTCATTCTGTCATAACTCCCGTCCTCACGGAGGTATGTAGGCAACCATGGAACTCAGTGGGGCTAAAAGCTCCGGCGCTGGGTCCCGTCTCCATGGCAGCTTCCCAAGGTGCTGCAGAACGCGCTTCGCGTCTCCTAACGCGTAAATTGATTTTCTCCAAGCTCACTTCAACACAATTCAACGAACCAATCTATCACCACCTAACCTCGACATCGAAATCCCCTGCGCAAGCTGCCAAGTCTCACCTGTGCTCACAGTACGACGATAATTTGCGCCAATATGGCGAGCTTCTTCGACCTCAAAGCTAGGAAGGCGGCTGCTGCTGCCAATGCGAATGCCGACCAGAAGCAGGACAAGTCCAGCAACCCCCGAACCCAACCTTGGGTCGAGAAATAGTCTGCACTTCCTATTTCCCGTTGCCAGCATCGAGACTGACAGATTTTAAGCCGACCAAAGACCCTCAGCGATGTCACTGCTCAAGATCACACCGTCGATGTTCTCCAAAGGACACTGCAATCCTCCAACGTCCGTCCTCTCACCCTGCCAATCGATCCAGGCCCTGACAACTTCTTAGCTCCCACACATGCTTTTCTATGGCCCCCCAGGTACAGGCAAAACCTCGACTGTCCTTGCGCTGGCGAAGGAACTGTACGGCCCCGAAATGATCAAGTCCCGAGTACTCGAGCTCAACGCCTCCGACGAGCGTGGCATCTCCATCGTCCGAGAAAAGGTCAAGAATTTTGCCCGCATGCAATTGACCAACCCGAGCCCTGGATACAAAGACAAATACCCCTGCCCCCCTTTCAAGATCATCATTCTCGACGAGGCCGACTCCATGACACAAGATGCACAGAGCGCACTGCGAAGAACTATGGAGACATACAGCAAGATCACCCGTTTCTGCTTGATTTGCAACTATGTCACTCGTATCATCGACCCGCTTGCTAGTCGATGCAGCAAGTTTCGATTCAAAAGTCTCGACCAGAGTAATGCGAAGAAGAGGCTCGAGGAGATTGCAGAGAAGGAGGGCGTTCCGCTGGAGGACGGCGCCGTCGACACACTGATCAAGTGCAGCGAGGGAGATCTTCGAAAGGCTATTACCTTCCTGCAGAGTGCTGCTAGACTCGTGGGCGCCGGTACCCCTGAGAAGGACGCCGATGGTGCTGATACCATGGATGTGGATAAGAAGGCAGTGACGGTTAAGATCGTCGAGGACATTGCCGGTGTCATTCCCGAGAGCACCATCGAAGACTTGGTTCAAGCGATACGCCCGAAGAGCTCGGGACCCTCATATCAGAATGTCTCTAAAGTCGTTGAAGACATGGTTGCAGATGGCTGGAGCGCAGGACAAGTTGTTGGCCAGGTAAGTGGTTTGGCTCCCTGACGAGACATTTCTAACAGCTGCCCTTAGTTGTACCAAGCCCTTACATTCGATGAAACTATCCCGGATCCCCAGAAGAACAAGATCGTCCTGATCTTCTCTGAAGTGGATAAACGGTTAGTAGACGGAGCTGATGAGCACCTATCTATCCTTGACTTGGCTATGAGAGTGTCGGCTATCATGGCGGGAAAATAAGCACACGACTTCTCGGACGAGGAACGGAGTTGGGGGTAGATATGGTGTTGGCGTTTGAGCTGGTCATATACCACCAAAATATTAAAATCTTGTACTTTCAAGCATGATTCTACGCTGTGTCTTCCTGGCCGATCAGACCCAGATTGCCGTGCAATCCCGACCATGCATCCCTCGACTGTTCCGAATCCTTTTTTCTCTCAGTATGTTTTCTGGCCTTGCTTGGAGTCTTGGAGCCTGCCAGCCAAAAGTCATCCTCCGTGGTGTCAGCTTGAGGCTCCTCATCCTGTTCCACCTCGCCCTGGTCCAAAAGGAGATCAATCTCTTGCAGGGTTTGCATAGAAGCCTCCAACGCAAGCTGTCCGCTTTCAACCTGTTCCGCCACATTTTCAAGGGTTGCAATCTTGGCCGAGTCCGCTGCGAGGACCCAGGGCTGTACTTTGCCGGTGAATCCAGGTCGTTCGGTAGAGGTTAGGACCTCTCCCAAGCCTGACCTCCTTCGAGTGGTGGGCGCCACGGCATGGGCCGGGAGTAGTTGGCTCTCCTCGGCAAGATGACCAAGCAACTGGCAGGAATCCTTAACTTCCTTGCCCAGTGTCGTATTTATATGGGCTTTTTGCGTGATCATGGCCTTTTGCTTCCTGGAAAGAGAGAGCAGAGATTCGATGTATGGCGTGAGGAGATAGGTGCTCGGCACAGGATCAGCATCGCCTACTTGCTGCTTAGACTCGGGGGGCGCGAGGACAGGTGCCGCAGATGAATCAGATCGCTCGGCAACTGTAGAGAGAAGGGATCGCCTGAAAGCGAGATACTTGGCGTATTTGTCTTTGATGGCATCGAGCTGGGCGTTTATCGAAGCCTGATCTGATGTTGCTCGATCATGACCTCCAGCGTTACCCCCGGCGTCCTCATCACCGTCTTCATCCGTTGACGCCTTTCCGAGCTCCGTTTCGATCCAGTTGATGAGCTCATTGCGAGTCGTATTTAGAGCATGTAGCCTTGTGCCATTACTGATGACATCCGGTATGTTTTGAGCATTGGTCCTTGTTTCGCGGAGGAGCTGCTCCTCCCGCCGCAAGAGTAGCTTTGCCCTCAGAACCGTCTTCTCCAGTTGGGCAACTTGTTCTGTTAGATCAGGCTTCTTTGTACTTTGCTGCGCAACGAGCCCGTTAACCACCTCCTTGGGTACTCTGGGAAGACTGGCTGCCTCATGAAACATGTCTTCAGAATCAAGATACTCGGGGGCGGCAGCGGGTTTCTGCATGAGAAGATCGAGGTGGTTTTGGACCGCCAAAAGCCGATCTTGTTTCGTTTGAAGTTTTAAGAGTGCAACTCGTTCCTCTAGTAAATCGGTGCCGTTGGATGGTGTTTCTTGGGATGAGGATGGTCGGGAGACATTGGTTTGAGCAATGTCGTCGTATTTCCGACGTGCTTCCACATTGGCCTTGAGAGCCTCAACATACTCTCTGTATACTCCCTTAGAGTCGGGGTCGAGGTTCACATCGTGTGCTGTATCTGTCAGGGACACAGGCTGCTTGATTGGGCCATCATGAGAGCAGGACCCAAGGTGAAGAGCCAAGACCCGTCGGATGTAGTTGACTTGCTCCCGAGGCTTTATGAATGGATCAAGAGTGTTTTGAAATGTTTCGGCAGTGTTGGATGAATTCGCCATCTTGGCTTCACATGGTTTGTCGGTGAGAAGCTGTCGAGGATTTGTTTGGGCTCGTTGCTCTGCTCATGGGAGTAAATAGCGGAGCGCCCCTGGTCAACACTCGGCTGCTTCAGGTGTGGCTGGTGCGAATTTCAATGCTGAGATTCGCCTGGAGTGGCCGCGGTGGCGAGTACCCAAAAGCACAATGTCTTTAAAATTCAGGATATTCGTGATAAATACGAACGATGAATTTCTTTGAAAGGCGTACCCATCTGTAAGATCAAGGATGTAAAGGATTAGGCTGTGAGGGTGCAGCCACACCATGTCCCAGCCACAAACGCGCTCCAATGACGCTAGCCCAAACGTGACCTAGCGTCTCAGCCTTCTAGGCTCCGATCTGAAATTTGCGATCGCGACTTCACTCTGAAACTGAGAACGAATACTACCACAACAACAACTGCGAATCAATCGATCGCATACTTCGAGTCATCTAGGCAGCGGCTACACCTCCGAAAAGTCGCGTCGGTGGCAAATCCATGATTATTTAACGGCCCAGTGCCCCGGGCTTTTGTCGAGAACATCGGCGTTCTCCAGCAATAACAAAGCTTCACAACCACCGCCACCATGTCGGAAGCAAATCGAGATGTCTCGCAGTACAAGTACTCGGCCATGTCGAACCTGGTCCTCCAGGCGGACCGTCGATTCGTCACGCGACGAACCGATGAGGCCACTGGTGATCCAGAGTCGCTGGCTGGGCGCTTG